GTTTCTTTCAACTTTTCAAGCCTTATATGCTGCTATTACTACACTGTTACTGAAAATGGGATACCAGATCACCTTCAGTAAAAAGAGGAGGTATTCAGAAAAAGATGAACGATAAAATAAGTGTTAATGTTTTGTAAGGTATGGTATAATCATTTTCTTAATAAAATGACTCTTGGGACACGCCTATGCCTCATCCAGGGAGGCCATAATGGGCATATTGACATATTGACCCCTAGAGTAGAATGCTATCACACTGAACATTGTAAGTGATATTATTGTAGCTGCTATTCATTCAAAGTCATTTCAAAGTCAGCCACTTTTTCATTGTAATTTTATTTAATGTAGAACTACATCAGAGAGGATTTACATAGAACCATGAGCTATGCAACAATTTCACACAATTCCATGCAGGGAACTACAAGATCAATAAAAAAGGAGGATGAGTAGTCCATGCTCAAAGGATATACATACATATAATGAACAGAATTATCCTGACTGCCTGTATTCACACAGTACACTAGGAGGGGAAGTGTACATCCATTACACTTCCTAAATGGAGAAAAGCGTATTTTCCCTGATTACATATCGGTCCCTCTGTTTAGGTGCATAAAATCTCCCTTATGAGTTTGGGAGATGCTTGGGAAGGGTAGCTAAGTTTGAGAACTTCTGCAACACAGGAGTATTTTGTGCATATTGCTTTTGCTATCTGGAGTTTTGTTTCTTTATATGTTATAAAAAATTTTCTGAGCATAAACTGAAATGGAACAGAATAAATCCCACTCACTAGTTTAGTGAGAATGTCAGAACAGGGGTAGAATTGCTTTGAGGGAAGGAGCACAACTTGTTGGAGAGAACATGTGCTCTGTATGCAAAAACCTGTAGATCTCTGGCATCTCCAGAAGCATCTTGGAAGGACTTCCCACATAAAATCCAGAACAACTTCTGCTAGTAAATATAGAAAATATTGGGCTAGATGGATCAGCAGTCTGACCAAGTATAAGCAGCTTCCTGTGACCCATATCTAAATGGGCCTCAGTAGCAAGCAAGCAATGTAAACAGCATGGGTAATGGAATAGATTCTTGGAAGCTGAAAATTCTTAGGAATGGCATTAATAGCACCTCCCCACAACACTAGTGGAACTTCTGTGCACATTATACCTCTTTTACTTATATACCCAATTTTAGCAATTTCTTACTATCCAGCATGTGGTGATTTTGCTGAATGTACAAAATGTTACTACTGGAAAATATTCTGCTCGTATTGATACTGTAAGATGCAAATGCTCTCCCTGTGATTATAAGTCTGATTTGGTTCATGCTTCATTCATAGGTGCAGAAATCAGCTGAACTGACTGTCAACTTGCCATATCAGTAATAAATAAAATATAAATGCTTTTATTTAGATTAGTACTCTTTAATTGAATGGCATTTATCTGTAATTCAGATGGAGGAGAGGCTTTGTTTTTTTCAGAAACTGGATGCAACTGGTTAACAGGGCTCTTCAATAATTCTAAAGGGTACACTGCTTGCATTTTACACTAAAACTAGTACTTCTAAAGGAGCTATCCACTAAAAAAACCCCAATATCTGGCAGAGTCCTACAGAATGTACCAAATGGGTTAATTGGCAGTTTTGTGCTAGATGGCCATTTATCAAAGTAAATCCTCAGATTTTGGGTAGGCAATATTTCAGCAAACAGGGGGGGGGGAGGATAAAATGATTAGGGGAGAAAAGCTTATAGTAGATGACTAGAGATATACTGAAGGAGAAAATGAGCTGAAATAATGGGCAACAGTCTGCCTAACAAAATGAGGAACAGGAAGAAGCAGCAGGTGTGGTTTAGTAGATATAGGATTGGCATGTTCTTTTGGAACTGTGCCAAAAAGTTACCCTTGAAACTGTCTATGATTTGTGTTCTGCGAAATATTCTTTTACAGTCCTTGGCCAACATTCTGCAAAACTGTGCAGAGAATATTCATACATAATGCTCCTTTGTCCTCCTATGGCTCATTATCTATAAAGGGCTAAATCTGTAGGTTGCCAGCAGTGTGAAATCAACCTGCTTACGTCCTCACTGGAGAAATAATGTAGTCTTCTAATTATGAATACTGTAGCCATAGAGGGAGCCCCCTATGAACTGGATAGTGGCTATATACAAGGTATTTGCAGTATTCATCAATAAATGCGTCTTCGTCTCCCTATGTTTTCTGCCTGCACTGGAGATGAAGCTGGGCTAATGAGTCATCACCTGAAATAACAATTTCACAGTTGGAATTCAGATCAGTTGCTTTCTAGATAGCACAAAGGCAATTTCAGGATCCTGCTTGTTCTTTCTGAACCATCTTGGCTCTAAAGAGGAAACTGGAGAAGTTGCTACCCCCCCAATCTCATTCTACTCAATTTGTTTTTAGTAACAGTATGAGTAGCAGAATTTAAACAGGTACAATCTTCTCCAGCACATCATGCAATGATGTAAAGCACAAGTTATTTTTTTCCGTTCTATATAAAAAAATAAAGACCTAAGATCAGACTTCAGAAAAAAAGGCAAATCCTCAGGTTTTGGGTAGGCAATATTTCAGCCAACACGGGGCAGGGGGGAGAAAAGCTTATAGTAGAGATATACTGAAGGAGAAAATGAGCTGAAATAATGGATTCTAGTCCAGCTAGAACTTTTACTATTGCCCACAATTCCTGTTTTGAGGCAGGTGCTTTTATGTGGGAATCAGTTTGAAATAAACTGTATTTAAAATAAATTTGAAACTGTCACATAAAAAGCAAAGCAAGTGCTAAGCTTTTGCATAATAGCAGTTATGAGTTCACGGATAACTCTTGGCTTGTTCAGTTACCCTTGATGAAGCAAAAAATAAAGCAAGGAGGAGCCTGGCTTATGAATTTGGTGTATGCCTGTTTAGGAAGAAATGGGGAAATCAAATGCATCTAACCTAGACAGAAGGGATTATTCAAATCAAGCCAGCCAGATGCAAAGCTGGAGAACTACATTCCTTTCAATTTGCCAGAGCAAGGAGACAAGGCAGCTTTATCTCCTGCCTGTTCCTGTCTAGAACTGCTGGCCTATGTTCATTCCACTGTACTATGTTTACATTTTATACTAAACCATGGTTTAATCAATCTATTGTTGTTTGGCCTTACACATAAAGTGAAGCCTTGTGACTTACCTAGTGTGTCTTCAACAATTTATTAAACTATAAGCCAAATGAACTAATTTAATCTTTACAGGGGAAGAAATGGGCAGCGTGTACTAAATATATTTCCTGCTACACTGGAAGATGTTATATGTTTGCTTGGTCTTCTTGGGATAGCTACAGTACATATGAACAATCCAAAGCTGTACTTACAAAAATGACATCTTTTTTTTTTTTTATTAAAGCTGCATTTCAACAAGATCACTAAGCTGTGTTTTGTTTAACTATGGATTACTAAATAGTAGAGGACACAGAATGCACAAAGCCACACAACATTATGGCTAAGTATATAAGAGGCTTCAAGCTTAGTTTTAAATTAAAAAGGAATCTGTTTGCCAGCACTGCTGCCAAGAAATGGATGGTGGGTGAGTGGACTACTTTTGTTTCTAATATGATTTTGCATATAGTAAATCATACTATTACTTGATTAATAAGGGGGAAAGGAATGTATATTAAAACGAAATGAATGAATGGGATTTACATATTATATTTAATCCATTTTATGCATCTTTAAAATGGTAGGCAACATTTTATGGACACATAGAAGCATAATGAATTTTGCTAAACCTAACATTGCAAATACTGTAAATGTTTCAATGTCAACACAAATCTATTGGATATGGACAGATTTTGCTCATTGTATCCAAAATCTTCTAAAGCAAGTTAAAGTTGGGAAATACTGCAATTTATAGTTCATTAACATCTGGTGGGCTATAGTTTCATTTTTCTGTTCACTGATAGTTTGTTTTATTGAATATACCACGTTTATTGCATTAAGCTGTAAATCATGATGTACAGCCCACAATGGCTTCATATAATACATTGTTAAGTTCCAGCAATGAGTTCCAGCAATGCACAAATCCAATTATTGTGGCTTATTAGGAACTATCATTGAATCTAAAGATAATTTGAAATTCAAACTTACTTTTAATAAAATCTGATCTAGGGTGGGGGTGAGGGTTGGTTTATTTACATTACTGTTGAAAAACATGACAAATAGCTACTATACTAGTGCATTGTATATGAAGGCAGAATGCAAAGATTAATCACTACTATTAAGAATTGCTCTTGAGTGTTACAGAGCTAATAGAAAATGTTACTAAGTTACTAAGCATGTTTACTATAAGTGAACCTACCTAGAGAATTGATCATACAATGTGTGACAATGGGCTTAAGGTGATTAAATTAAAGAAATATAGGTGTATATTAAACAAATTCAAAAATAAGATTAATTGAAATTGGTCACCTATCACCTATCTCTATTTTACTATTTTCACTTAAATTTTGGCAGGAGAAGCAAATATTCAATTTTACACAAATGATCAGTTTTCTTAATAGGACTTCTCTTTCCTACCTCTTCTCTGAACAACTGTGCTTCTGCAAATCTTGTCTGGAAGGTCATCCAAAAAGATGCAAGAGAGAAGGAACCTGTTTGGCCAGCCCAATTTGTTCCTCAAGTGGATGGATATAATTGGATGTACCCCTTACTTTGATTAAACCACTGTAAATCAATTAAATATAAGCAACATAGTCTTTAATGTAGCCATCTGGTTACACTCTAGGACTTAATACACCAATCTCTGAGCTGACAGAAAAATACTATAGCATGAAACATGTTCTGACAGCCAAACCCTACACTTCCTGATTAATAGGGCTGGTGTAGTACTTACTTTTGAGACTAGTTTGAGACTAGTTAACAAAAGGGATTGGTGGATTCTCCTGGCTTTGTTTCTTCTCTCATCAAATATCTGCTGGTGTGAAAAACATCAACAATTGCTTTCTTAATATGTGGGGAGATGGGTTTGGGTGGCTGCACCCAAGGGTTTAGTTACCTGGTATGTTATTTAACTAATAGACTATTGACATGAAGTAATAGACTACTGACATGAAGATGCTATGAGCTGGGACCCGCCACTAGCAATATTTCAAAAGAGGACTTAAGCTTTGTCTCAAAAAAGAGGAGGTGCGTGGATAACGTAGGACAGAGGTCTCATGACTGGACTTTTTCTAAGGAAGGCCGATCAATGTTCAGAAAAACCTTTACTGACAGACTATAGACCTTAAAGGGAAGTGGTGAAAAGCACTAAGGAACTTTTCCCCCTCTTCACTACCCCAGTGATATGGCACTTTGATTGAGAAGCTCAGAAGTGGAGTAATGAGTGAGCTCCCTCTTCTGCTAATGATGTGAGGGGATTGCTGGCAACAAATAGCCAAACCAGCAACACCCAGAAATAATCCATAGAGTATTCAAAATGGTGCCCCCCCATGATAAAACAACAACAACAGCCTTGCAAAATACCTTGTTGGCAGAATTACTGGAAAATCTGCAATGCAGTAACTGGGGATAGAATCAGCAACAGTTAGCAGAATTGTGTTTTGGTCTAAATCAATCTTCTGTGCAGTACATGTTTAAAGAGCAGGACTAGTACTCTTTCATAAGAGTGTTAAATTCTTGCACCAAATTCAGTGTATACACTTTGGAAAGCATCAGTAAGACATTGCACAAACAGATGTTCCTGTAGAAGTCTTATGTCTGGTCTTTCCTGCAGTTCAACGGTAAGTGTCCATGGAGGGCAGTGCCCAGAACTGGAGGGGAGGCAACATCTGTAGAGCAGACTAAAGTACCAGATCTTAGCCCTGACTGCATGATCAACCACAACACGGGTAAATGTGTTAGATGTCCTCATGCATCTGAAGAAGGAAAACAATTTCATGCTGGAATAACTACAAATAATTCCCTTAGTACAGGCTGGGGATGTGATGAAAAAAACATCACAAGACCATGAAATTTAAGAATATTTACTATGGAATGGGCATGCCTTGATTAGGGGGAAATGAGTTAATATGTTTGCTTTTCATTCTTAAGTCACACTATTTAAGGTATATTTACAACTCAGGTTTATTATTTTAAGCCAGCTTATTTTCCCTCAATAAAAATGCTGATTATAGTATTAGTATATGATCTATCATGACTCTAACCCTCTTCATAAAACAAAGATTTTCCAAATTCCCTCAGATGGGAATCACTAGTAAACCAGCTTATATTTGTGGAATAAACATGTCTTGTAGTGTATCAATAGACTGAGATCTGCTTCATTGGCTCTTGTTTTGTTCAGTATTATATTTTCACCTATAATAAAATCATAAGAATTGTCTGTAGTTCTTTGAAATGTCTAATATCTAAAATCCACATCTTTTTTGCTTTCTCATTACACTTAACTAACATCTGGCTACAACCAAATCTCAAGGGCACACAAAATTCCTGCTGTGCTATTTTTTTTAACTTGGCAAAGCTTTAGTCTGCAACTTTTGGCAGAGATAGTTTCTGAAGAAATTCTCCTTATTTGTTTTCTACTGTACATTCGTTAAAATCAATGGCAAAAGAAAAATATATTTAAGAAAAGAGTACGAGTTGTACTTGTGTCATGGATATTTTCATCATATTGATTAAGAACCAAAATTGAAAACAAGCAAACATAAAAAGAGATGAAGATATTTGGAAGCAAAGATGCTTACAAATAGGTAAGCAGAGCAAAAAGGAAGTGGAGCTATGGAAAAAAAGGGACAGAAGAACGCAGAATTATGAATACTAGTCAATGAGGTATTTTCTGATCCAGTAATAATAAAGAGTACATACTCTATAGAATTTTGCTCTCTAGGATGGATCCCAGATGAAACTCCGTAAATGGGACTCAAAAATTCCTGAGACTAAATTTCCAAATGTAAGAACAAATCTATCCATTATTTCTTCTATATTGTACCTCTTTCAAAACCTTCATGGTGTTGTCAGACATCTGAATGGATCCCAGGTGCAACATTTCCAAAATTGTAGGTATTGTAACTGCAATACAGGATGTCTATGAGAAATACAGTTATACTGTCATAGATGCCAAAGTCTCTACCAGATTTTCTAGTTCAGACAAGCCCTAAATAAAATCAAATGACTTCATTTAGAAAAACCTACATTAACAGAAAACATACTTTGTGTCCTCCTTATTTGAGTGGTCAAGTAAATACATGGATTTGTGCCATTTACTCTTTTCAGACTTCTAACTGTATAGGTTCTCCTGCTTGAGCAGGGGGCTGGACTAGAAGACCTCAAAGCTCTATTCTATTCTATTCTATTCTATTCTATTCTATTCTATTCTATTCTATTCTATTCTATTCTATTCTATTCTATTCTATTCCATTCCATTCCATTCCATTCCATTCCATTCCATTCCATTCCATTCCATTCTATTCTATTCTATTCTATTCTATCTCAGAGATGACATTCCTTTGTCCTGGATTAATGTAAAAGAACCTTCCATGCAACGATGAGAATCAGTGAGTACAATTTTCTTCATCTGAATTTAAAAGTATTTAAAGGAGTTAGTGTTCTTAAATTACCAATTCAAAATCCTGAAAAGCTACCATTCGTAGAAGAAGCTTACATTAACTTAGGGCTCTTTGATTAACATTTTCCTTCTGATGTTATAATAAAAATGTGTATCCATTTGTTAGCAATTTATCTTTTGAGAAGAATGGTACTGTTGCAAGTAAATAAAATCTTTCTCTATTTTCATCTCTTAGCTTCTCTTGAAAAAAAAATCTGGTGATCACACATATTGGCAATTGTGATCTAAACAGTTTTCCATAATCTGGCACTTTTATGTTATATAGAAAACATCACGTACATTGGAATCTAAAAAAGAATAAAGAGGGGGCATGACTTTGGCTATCACGATATACTGCTATCTGATTGAACAATGTTAAAGAAGAACTAGAGAATATGAGGTATTCATTTCCTAACTAAAATACACAATTTTAGTCTTTTGCATCTATGAATTATACGCACTGCACTCTAATATGTGCCTATACAAAATTAAATCCTATTGAGATCAGTGGGACTTAATCACAAAAATGTAAACAGGATTGCTGGTTGGGTAGTTTTCTGTTGCAAAAGCTAATGTATGGGATGAAAATTAACTAATTAGTTTGACTTCTGTGTTTGCTTACATTTGATTATAGTATCAGTGGCATATAAATGTCTATCATAGAATTTGCGTACAGTTCTGCATTAAATCTGGTCATGTATTCAGGCTATTGTAGGCATCTAGCATTTTCAGTTACTCAAGTCGGCCCCATAATGAGATAGAATTTAAAACTTCCATGGAAAAGCTTTAAACTATGTGTATAAAATATTTCTGGACTGAAGTTGTAGTAACCCTGTATGTGAAAAGAAATTTAAAAACATTAACTGGACAACAGAACCAGTATCAAACCTGAAGGTGTCCCTAATTCATTGAGGTTATTAACATACCAAATGGTGAAGGGTTACTCATACATTTAATATACCCTGAGTTTTCCTTTTCCTTCCAAAGGAAGTTCTCACTTTTAATCTTTTATGTTTCCTCTAATGAATCTGGCTTCTTTGTGGCAAAATATTTGTGTATTCCTGTGCCTCTGAAAGGGATCAGCTAACCAGTTTCCACTCTATTTTAAAACTAAAAATTATGACTGGAGCTAGCAAGGAGCTCTCTTGTTTTAGAGTTGCAGAAAAATAACATCTCTCTTCCTTTCCCTTTTCATCTCCCCTGTGTTTTCTAAACTTTGAAAAATAAATAGCATGTTTAAACAAGTGTACAGTTGGGTGACCCAAACAGTAGTGAAGCAAAATAACACTTATCTGCTGACAGAATTTCTTAAAAATAAATAAGCTAAGTTTGGTTCCTTGCCAAATCTGATGCTTCAACAGTTATTTTTTTGGAGGGGGGGGGGTTTCTAAGGAGTTTAAATAAGATGAAAATTCTCCTTCATTCCATCTGGAAGGCAATGTCAGACATGCTGTTTCCATGTCTGCTTGTTTGCTTTCTGACAGGGCTGTATAATTCAAGGCTGCCCAGAACAACTGTCTGTACAAGAGTCTCAGATTTTACCACAGGCCAACCAGAGCAGTGAGAGCTTCCTCTACTTGGACTGTGATATTATGGAGGGCAAAATCCTTCTGAATCTTCAGTGTCAATGCTATCCCTGCCAATAATATTTAGAGAAAGTGGCTATGTGTGCATGGATATACGAACCCACACTGCTATTTCAGTTTGACTGCCGTATGTCAACCCTGTTATTTTCTACTAAGAGTTCATAATGCTGCCTCCAGACTGATGTTTCCAAAGCACATTCAGAAGCCAGGAATCTGGAGGGATTAAGATTTCTTTTCTGCAGACCTTCCCTGGGTGGTTGCCACTGGAATGGAGAAGTGCTGTTTCTGAAGGTTGTTCTTTTCTTGATTGAAAATTAGTCTCGAGTTCAGTTTCTTCTCCTCAGGAAGAAAAAGCTGCTCTTTTGGGGAGGTCCTAACAACATTGGCACTTGGCTTTTGTGGGTTATTTTAATCTGGAAGCAAAAGGATAGAAGCCAAAGTCACAAAATCATTGAAATGAAAAGGCTTTTGGAGATAATTTGGAACAGTAAAATCCTGTATTTCATACAGAATTATGAGGCAAGAGGCAACAACAATAACTCTGATAGATGCAGGTCCATCTTATCTCAAACATCTCAAGCAAAGGAAAACCCACTATGTTCTAAGGCAGTATATTCCACTTCACACATTTATTTTTAGATGTTTCTCCTCCTAATTAGCTGAAATCTGCGTCCCCTTAATTTTGACTCATTGCTTTGTCTTGCAATCTGGAAAGCTTCTCCACCTGGTTCTCAGTTTTTCAAATGTTTAAAGACAACATCAAATTTCTCCTTATATTTTCTTCAGTATCCAACTGTTTCAACCAGTTCTCATTATATTATGATTAGGTGATTGCTCTTTCTAGATAGAAACTATTTCAAGGGACTATGGAAAGGGCAAAGATTTTCTATTAACTGAGATAAACATTAACGTTTTCCTTTTGTCAATGTCTATTTATGCTAGTTTATTGCTGCTACAAGGACTGGCTCCAACAGAGGACAAGCTGTCTGGAAGAACTAAGAAAATAATTATTTCACTTGTGTCATTTATTTGCAGAAGGAGGAAATGGTATCTGCTGAATCTACTACTCTATGGTTTAGGGCATGAAGCCTTGCTTTTATATGATAGCATTTTGCTGCAAGGTTCCCCAATCTGATGACCCCAGAATATTGCAATAGGACTATTATAATCTCTTTTCAGGTGGCAATGTAACATTTTCCCTAGATTAGAGCACATGAGCAATTGTTTGACAGCTAGGGGGAATATCAATCTTTTCCTACAGTCACCTAAACATGGCATAAACCTGCCAGGTGTTCTGCTCTTCCTGATCTGAAGGCCTTTCTTACATGACCAAAGAAAATCAGTACCAAGCAGGATCTGGCTCACAGATACACCCCCACTCCTGTTGCTTCAGGGAAAGACAAAACAAGTCTGTTTAGTTCTGTATGGCAAATAAAAAAAAATTCCTTATCAGACTGAATTGGAGATAGCACTGAGACAATTCAGCCATTAAGCCTTATGAGTGGTTGTGGAGGTAGCAGAAGAACAGGTCATCTTCTCCACCACAGCCCAAGATGACTCAAGAAGTGTAACAGGCTCTCCAGAAAGGCACATCCAGCATATCTTGCCTGGCTAGTCAACTGTCATAAGGTGAGATCCTCAAAGCAATGAGAATGTTGGGAAGTAGCATCCAATGTGATTCAAAAACTGAAATTCAAATCCTAGATAGCTCCAGATTAGGAAAATGTTTGGTCCTTGTTTAACAACTATTCATTCAATGACCATTTAAACTTGTGATGATCTCAATTAAGGGGGCATATGATGAGTCATGTTAGTTGTGGTCATTGCAATGTGCCTGCAGTTCATTTGATTGTGATTTGGATGTTTTGCAACAAGTTCAAAAGTTATGACATTTGCAGCATCCCTCAATCACATGAACATGTTTTGTAATCTTCTCTGCTATCTTCCTGTGAGCGAAATCAAAGGGAGTAGAGTTTTTGCTGCCTATAGAAGAACTTATATGTGGCTCAAAGTGGAACTGTGGAGAAGTCATTGGGGAAGCTGGCAGGAAATCAGAAATCATGGTCATGTGAGATTCTTACTTAATGACCACATCTAGAGATGGCTGGAACTGCTATCAGTAAGCTGTATGATCAGATGATGTCACACTTTGATTGCATCACTTAGTGATGGAAATTCTGATCCAATTACCATAATTAATTGAGGGCTACTTGCATACACAGGAATTCAAAGAGCCGTTCTTTTCACTTTGAATACTTCTCTGCAAGATATTGTACTATAATACTCATTTGCATATCAGAGTCTTTTCTGTAGCTTATTTTCAAAACAAAACAAAACAAAACAACCCATTTCTCAGAGCTTCTTGCTCTAATAAATAAGCTCCTTTAATAACATTCTGTGTTTCAACTACTCACTGTACAAGGTGGTTGCATCCAAGGCTCTCCATCCACTTGCATGGGCAACAGTTTGGTTGTTCTGCAATACACAAACAGTCTTGTAAGAAGGAAAACTAGTCAGAACTGAATTCTGTCTTGCTCTAAGCTGTCAATAATGAAAAGAGTGAAAGAGTGAGATATACAAAATGATATTATCTAATTGTAGTCACTGAATCATCACCTAATGTTAAGTGCGTGAATGATAAATGAACCATAAATTAATAGGATGGTTCCAATAATATGATAAAAAAATAGACTGGCTAATTTGTAGATCGGTGTGTTGTATGAACATGCTTCATGGTTAAGATTTCTAGGAACCACAGAAGCAATAGCATAGTGGCACAAGAAGGCATGCTCCGTTTACATGTATCAACCCCACACCTTTATCATTCTTTGCTTAACTCATCTATCATGTGTGCAATTGCACATAGAGGCAACTGTGTTTTATCCAATATATTCTTGAGGTATATTGAGTTTGGCTCTATAAAAACTACATCCTTTTCCTATTTCTTAGTGTAAGAGCAGGCACCTTATTCTCCTTTGTACTGGGTCCCCCTGTTTTTTAATGGCTCCTCATCACATTCTCTCATATCCTTTTGTCTCTTTCTAGAACATGCTGAAATTCTGGGAAAACATAATGCCTTATAAGTAAAATGCTTTATTTTTGTCAACATTCTAGTCATTGTTTATCCACTGCAGGATGAAATCTTCGTGTTTCCAAACAGCTTTATTTTATAGACTTGATAAGTTTTTCAGGTCATGGCAAACCACAGAAAATATAAATTTGGTCTTTAGAGCAGGGTATTAGAATATTAGCACACAAAAGAAAGGGATACCAGGAAGTGCCTGATTCTTTTTCGTCTCTTACTATAATACCTTCCAAATTGGGCAAAACATTCATATTAGAACTAAAGCCTCAAAGTAAGTACCTGATGGCAACAGAGGAACACTGGGCCAATCTCTTTCCAGCACTTTTCAATCCAGTATAGATCTGTCCCATTTCCATTGCCCCTTCAAGACCAACAACTTCCAAAAGCTGATCACTAAGATCTAATGAAAGAAAGATAGATTATTATTAAACAAAGAAAAATTTGTGGCCTTTTATTGTGTTTAATGCAAAGCTGAAGATTGCTTATACTGCTGTTCTTCATGTAGTGGCTATGGACATCCGGGTACATACTTGCAAGGTTCTCATACTCCTTGATCATGTTTTAAATTAAAATTGTTTTAATTGAAAAGTTGATATATCTATAGCTGTCTGTCTGTCTGTCTATCATCTTCTATCATCTATCATCTATCTAATCACTGGAGGTAGTAACAGTATCCAGAAAGACTAAAGGAGATATTTTGTATGCAAGTTTTGCTCATCTGTTGTATACATCTGCACTGTTGTTTTTCTTCACTTTACCAGTGTACCTTCTGAAATAGGAACTTTCTTGTGATTGGTGGAGAAAATGTTGTGATTTACTCTGAGGGCTCACATCTACTTCTGTTTCTTGGCCAAGTCTCTGAACTTTACTGCATCGGCCTGCATTTTGGAAAAATGAGCATTTAATCCCAACCGGTTGGTATCCATTTCATGAATGGGCAAAACGTCATTAGCATGACTGTCTTTCTGTGTATATATCAGTCAAACACTCCTTTATTTCCAAATGAATCCATTGTCCTGAAAGGACTGGAAACAAGAGTTCAAAGGCAATGTTTGGAGCAGTTCTTTGTCAACCTCATCTTTTTTTTTTTTTTTGTCAACCTCATCTTTTATTGGCAGAATTTCCCAAGTTCATTTAAAATATTCAGATTGCAGGTCTACAAATACACCTATCTTTGGAAAGTTACTATTAGTATGTAGAAGCTATACAGGCCAGTGACTGGATGAGATACTATTTGTATCTATTTAAATGCTGTTCTGAGTTCCCTGGAAAAATAATATAAGAAGCATGCTAAATTTGTCAATAGTCTGAATCAATAAAAGGTAATTTTATTTGTTCACCATATAATGGGAGTTTTGGTTAACTCAGGAGCATGATTTTTTTTGCTAGGAATAAATTATTATCACCTTTCTCCACATTTTGCTTTGAAATGAGTTGGCTACAGCTCTCAGTTCAATTTTTTCTTACAAGGCTAAGTTATAGGTAATGTAGGCAGTCCCACAATTTGTGATCCAGTGATCCCCTGCACATTACCTATGGGTGCTTTTGATGCTACAGTGAGCACGTTCCAAATATTTCATTTAATTTCATTAAATTTCATTAAAAAGACTTTATTGGGGAAAGAATCACATTGTGAGGGAAGCACTGTAACAGTGACAGTGCTTCAAAATCAAAGCAACAGGGGCAATGCTTCAAAAGCAAAGCAACAGGGATAATATTTCTGCATTTGGCAGCACTTTTTGTGTAAATTCTACCCATTTTCAGAAAGATTTGTGCACTTGATGTTTGTGTCATCCAAGAGTTTTACGAAATGCACAGATGTTATCAATTTGTGATTTTGAACACAAATGATTCCCTATTTGGGTCAAGGATTAAACTTTTTTCAGCACTCAGAAAGATGATGCAGCTAAGGATAAATAAGTAGGCTTGCTTCATCTCTTTGGGGTCTTCATTTGGCAAACCCTCATGTGCACTTGCATGGTTTCTATTTGGTTGCTTTTGCTGTGCAGTGGGAAAAGTATAGCCTGGAATGAAAATGAATGATAGACAAGAAGCAACAAATGTGAGAACAAAGCAAATGTGAGACTTTTGTCTTTTGAAACATAGATATCTGGCCTATGCCAGGATGAATCTGCAGTGCCAAAGTTGGAGTCATTTGTTCTGCAGCACTCCAAAATAGCATATTTAATTTCCTCAAATGAGGTCTTGCCTGCAAGACTTCAAAACTAAACACTAATGGCCTCAAATTATTCTTTCTTCTACTCTGGGAAGATATTTGAAACAATAGATTTCATCTCTGAAGCATAGGAATAGTCTTTAAAGATTGTTTCCTTTTACATTGTGCATATTCCTCCAGAGTCTGAGTTATCAGAGAAACAAGCCAGCATAATATGTGTTGCCATGATGGCTGAACTCTAATTTGCTTGCCAGTGCTTCTTACAGCCTTATCTTGACACAAGTTAAAGGCAAGATTTAGTAAAAAATTTTGGTGTTATTTCCACCACCTCCCAAAATCAGTAGATAGTCAGAAAAACAACCACCAATCATTCTCCTGAAAGCGTGATGGAACAGATTGGACAGAGGCTTTAGCTGTATTCATGTTGTCTGTGTGACAGATCACTCAAGCTATTTCAGAACATAGGTTAACAGGTTGCTGGTCTGGAGGAAGGAGCTTACACAGCACACTAATGCAGTGCCTTTCTGCCTCATTCTGGCCCATCTTTAACTTGTCAGCTGGGTTATTTTTGGACAAAAGTTTACCAGTCTTCTAGAAGTCTGGTAAACTTATAGAGAGATTTACTACCTCTCTGTCACTTGGGATAGAAGGGGAAACTAGCACTACTCTTGTCAATTTCCCTCCAGCTTCCAAATTGGTAAGACATGAATGGACATATCAGCATCCAAATGTATCCAATGAAATATGCAAAATGGCATCAGAACAAAAAAAATAATGCTCCAAAATAATAGGAGCAACAGAAAACACAGCCATGCCAAACCCTTGTCAGCAGAAGCAGCAGAAAGCTGTAGCGAACTCGAGTAGAATCAGCAATACATACCTCCCCATTTAAACAATTAGCAGATCCTACTTTTAGTCATAAGCAGGCTTACTGATCTTTGTAAAACTTTTGAATATTCAATAGTAGGTCTAGTGATCTACAAAAAGGCTGACATATATCAGTGTACATAAGGAAGCCATGCTATGCTTTGTGAAATGTAAGTTAGATATTACATGGGCAGATGCTTCTACAGAAACCAGGGAGGGTAGTGCTTTGACCAGAGATGAAGATGTAAGCCTGTGGCAACCTTAGTTGGACAATAGGAACTCTGAAGAGGCCAGCATCTGACTGCATCATCATGAGATTTGTGAATGAGCCATTGTAGGTTCTTCTTAAGAATGTGTTGGAAAAAGGTAGAAAATTCTACTTTAAAACTGCTAAGGACCAATTTAGGGTGCCTCTGTGGGTAGGCTGGAGATAATCAAAAGCTGCATCATAAAGACACATCATTTAAAAATGATCTGTGAGATGTCTTTATGCCATGGGTGAATCTGAATCTGGAGTGTGTTCCCTATTTTTCCAAAAGATAGAAAATGAAATTGTTATTCAGATCTACTTGTATGTAAAATCCTATAGAGCCTTGCTGTAACATACGTATTTGGGGAACAATAAAATGTATTGTTTTGAGGATTAGGTTAGTAATGGCTCATGTAAAATTGTACTGCTAAATCCTCCACATGATTCAAGATCAGCTTTTAAAAAATCCCTATTTGTGTTATCCTACAGAAATAATTGCTGCAAAAAGTAATAATTGATAGTATTAAGAAACTGCTCCTCCCTATAAACCTTGTCCTGACATATCTGATTATTAGTTTTCAAGCTGGTTAGCCATTATCATTTGTGGATGTGTTATAAAGGTAACCTGTAAGCTTACATTGCTGCTATGCATGAACCCATTTGTCTCATTCCACAAGAAAAGTAGTGAAGGAGAACATTTGTAGGCTGGGAAACTTGCAGGGTGGGGGTGGGGTAGATATGGCCCACAGATCAGATATTGGCAACTTCCTGCTTATTGCTTTGAAGTTGCAGTCCTTAGAAAACTACCTACTGCAATTGAGGCAGCCATTAGTCAGAAAGTATTTCAAAATTGCCGTGCATTGTTCCCAATGAAGATCATGCCCAATGGTTTTTTGTTTTTTTTTTGAGGATTGTGCTGTAAATGCCTACAGATTTTCTGCAGCCCTCATCCCGCCTCAGGCCTCTCCACTTGGAGAGTTTCATGCATTAGTCAGAAAGGAATATTCTGGAGAGAGTGCTGTTTCACCACCCTGGCTTTCTTTTCCCTGTTTGTACTGTAGCCTGTATCAGCATTAAAGCATCCTCTTAATTACTCATTCTGTTCTGTCTAAGCAGCACCTGTTCTGCCAAGCTCTTTCCAATCCTCTCCATGGAATCCCAAGAGGATATTCTTAGAATTTTCTTATTTTCAGGCAGGTGCTCTCATCGGAAGAGCATTTCAGAAAAATCTCACAAGGTGATCTATGATTCTTCATGACAGAGAATGTACTTTTTGTTTCCAGTAGCTTGGCACTGCTGTGCCAACACTGTGATTAGCTTAAGGCCTTTAATATTTCATTACTTTGCAAGATCCATTTTCTGTAAAGCTTTAGTCTCATTGGAAGCTGGCAAGGAGCTGGCAAGGAGCTGGAGGAGGGAATGGCATTGAGAAGAATTAAATAGGCAATGAATTAATTTTACATTAATGATAAACTTGAAAATAACTGCTGCCTGTAAAATGCTCCTTTGGAGTATAACAAATTCCCGCTTTATCCCAAAATCAATGCATTCATGTTAAGGGTCTGGAGGGATTACCAAAAACAATATAGAATGTCAGCGATGAACCCAAGTAAAAGGGTATTTGGAAATGCTTGAATACTTTGTACTATAAGCAACGGACAAGCATCCTGCAGGCAAGTTTTGAGCAGGATAAGTAAACTGAATTGAAAGAAAGCTGCACACAGCAGCTTTTTTAGCAGAAATGAATTAAAATAAAAAATAAAATAAAAAGAAGCTGGTAGTCATAATCTGAGACTTCTTACAGCACAAGCTTGTTGCCTAAGGAGAAAGCAAGCAAGTGCCCTTTATCCTGGGAATCCTTTCTTACATGCGCAGCTGGAAGCTGGCAATGTTGGCTGCATTTAGAGATAATTTAGAATTGTGAATTAAATCCCTTTGGAAATTGTGTGTGAGAATGTCAATAGGCAAACTGGTTAATTGTCAGGGTGTGTCCTGCCTGGTCTCATGCCGCCCCTTCAGCCTTTGCCTGCCTAACCCATCTCCTTTACCAGCTTTCCCTCAGCTTGGTGCCACCACCCCCCTCCCATGATTTGGGACATATCTCCCCAGTCATTATGGTCAACTTGTCTTTTTGAAAGATGTACTGTTTGTGGTTGAAAACTGGAATGCCAAAGTTGGAAATAGTAAGGAGGAAAACATAGTTGGACTGAGTGGCCTAAGAAACAGAAATAAAACAGGAGAATGATTTATCAGTTTCTTCCAATTCAATAATTTCTTCAATGCTAACGTATTTTTCAAAGCTCAAAACATACCTTACATACATGGGCATCGCCAGATGGGGCACATAAATCAGTTTCACTATATTATCAGTAGAAGAAAGTGAAGGAGCTCAATTTATAGTAGTGAAAATGTGGATGGGGCTATGTAGAATAGATTGTGAGCTGCTCATATGCAAGTTCCAAATCAAGCTAAAGCAGGCCAAAGCCAACAGATTCCAAGATATGAATCTGAGCATGTACTCAATATTTTCAAGGACAACATCAGGATTTTCTGGACTCTTTCCAGTCAGGATTCAGGCTGGGCTATAGTACCAACATGACATTAGCTTCATTTGTTGATTACTTTTGGAGGACTCAGGATGGGGGTGGTGTGTCCATCTGGCCCTTCTGGATCTCTTGGTGGCTTTTAACATCATCAATCATGGTATTTTACTGGACCAGCTCTAACAATTGAGGGGGGCACTGTTTTGTGACAGGAGGTTTTCCTCCTGTCTCCATGACTGGTACCAGTCAGCATTAGTGAGCAAGGCTAAATCCTAATCTCCTGTTATGTCTCTCTCCCCTCCTATTTAACATCTATATAAAGCCACTGGAAGTGGTATTTGGAGCATGGAATCCAATATCAACAGTATGCTGATGACACTCAATTATACATCTCTACCTCATGCAGAAAAGTGATGCTGCTTAGTGCCTTGAGGCTGTAAGGGCCTGGATGGGAGAAAGTGGCTTTGATTCAACCATAGCAAGATGGAATAATTGTAGATCTTTGGCTCTCCTAAAGTCAGGAGAATTGATATCTCTGACTCTAAAATTGGATAATATTCTCATGGAGAGAGGATCCACCTGAACTTGTGGTTCCTGGTGGAAAAGCATGTCAACCATGTCAGGAAGCTTTGCACAAATTTATCTTGTGTGTCAATTGCATCCATTCTTCAACCAGGAGTCCTTGCTCATAGTAATTCATGACTTAGTCACCCCTGTTTGAATTACTGCAATACATTCAAAGAAAAATTGGAAGTGCAACTGGTCCTAAATCCAGCAGCACATAAATTTTAGGTCTCCTGTGTTTCACCTGAGTAACACCACTTTTGTTTGAGCTGCATGGCTCCCAGTTATTTTCCAGGTGCAATTCAAGGTGTTGGTTATGACCTTTAAAGCTGTACAATGCACAGAGCCAGATTATCTGCAGGATCACCTCTGCTCTTCCTTCTAGGTTAAATAGGGTAGGCATGTTCCAGGTCCCCTCCCTCAAATGTTGTTACCTGATGGGACTTTGGAAGTGTGCCTTTCATAGTGGTCATCCTAGCCTTTTGGAATAGCTTCTCACTTGAGATCTGAGGGATCACTGCTTTTTAAGCCTTCCAGAGGGTTAGGGTGGCATTGGGCTAGGATGAATTGGGAGATTGTTTGTTCTGTCAGAGATATCACAGGTAGCCAAGAAAACAAAGAAATCAGTCCAGAGTTCTTATTCAAGGCACAGATGATCCTATTTTGGATACATTATGCAAAGACCCAACTTCTTAATAAGAATGGCAAAGGACTAGCAGGTGGCAAAGAAAAGGGCACGTTTTCATCTTCTATTCTGATTAATTTTCTCAAAGTAAAGATGTGTTTTCCACCAGATATGAAAAGCAAGTTTAAGGAACAGGTTTGAAATTTGAGAATGATAAAAAAGATATTCGGGGAATACCTGTTTACTCTGAATGAGTTCAAATATCTAGACAAAAGGTATTCATTTATTTGATTTCTATCCTACTTTTAATTTAGGCATTCAAGACAGTATTTACAGCACTTCCTGCACTTATAATTTCACATAAAACAGCCTGGTGGTAGGTTGGGCTGTAGTCCAAAGTCACCACATGAGCTTGGATAGAATATTTATCAAATCTGCAAATATTACAATGTCAGGTGGGATATCTCATACCCTAAAGATTGTATAAATAACTTTAACAATTATTTTTATGTTAGAGAACTGTGCCTAAAATATGAATGAATGAAATTTAACAGGAACACATGCAGGATTTTTCAGTTAGCAAGCAATCAGCTGCACATGTGTACCTGACTTGGCAAAAGCATTTGTGAAAAAGATTTTGGAACTGTAGCTGATCACAAATTGAATATGAGTCAGCAGTGTGATGTTGCTTTCAAAAAAGCCAAATGCAATTTTAGGCTGCTTCAGCAGAAGTATTGTTTCCAAAATCATAGGCAATCATTTAATTTCTTTTGGTCATATCCTATCTCAAGTATTGTGGCCAGTTCTAGATATTGTACTTTAGGAAAGATTTAATTAAACTACAACAAGCCCAGAAAAGATCTCTGAGGAGGGGTAGGGATTTAAGAAAGATTGAAGGAATTGGGAATGTTTAATCTTGAAAAAACTGGGAGATACTACATGGAAGATCAAGCTTTGTTTTTTACCACTACAGAGGACATTGCCCTAAATCATGAAAACAGATTCCAAACTGAATGTTTAGAAAAAATCTTAACAGTTCAGCCAGTTATCCAGAAAATTGGATTCCTCTCTACCCAGTGTGTTCAAGTGAAAGCTAAGCCATATCTGAGATATGCTTTAATTTGAGGATGTTCTGGTACTCAACAAGCAGTTGGAATGGCTTCTTTCAATTCTTCAATGACTAAGGGCACATGATTTTCGCAGATGAAATAGGTTATTTTTCATTAAACTGTATGTCTCTAAGAAATCTTATTTTTTGGTTCTTCCAACTTGTCAAGCATTGAACACAGGAGATACTATTTTTTTGTGGCCACTGTAGATATACAGGGATTACTCCTAAATATCTGCAACTTCCTACATGCTACTTTTACTGCACTCAAAAGTCTAAGTCACCTCACCTTGCACACAAAATTTGAGCTCCTTGGCATCAGTAACCACCGAGGATTGCAACTTTTCAGGTATTTTCTTGCTCATGCGGTTATAGCTGCGCTGTTTCTTGGTTTCTCCCCAAAGATTGGAGCCACCATACATGCTGGGAATGTTGAGGACTGCAATTCCTTCCAATGAAGTGCTAGTCAGATCCAAAACTGTTCCATCACACTGATACAGAGGGAGAAAAAGATAAAAGAGTGGTTTTATGAAATATATTTAGAATTATCTATTAAACTGTATCATGAACTATATAAATATTTTTATTCCACCGTTCTAAATATCAAGTAACTTCTTATTGTCATAAAACCAATGAAGCAAAATTATTAAGATCCACATTCATCACAATCACACTAAACAATAAGCTGTGATGCTATCAGTTCAAAATTCAGGTGTAGATGGCTAGAACCCCTTTCAGCGGGAGGTGTACTGTCTAAACCAGGAGTCCCCAACTCCCAGTCCGTGGACTGGCACCAGTCCACATCATGCCAGCAACAGTCTGCGCAAGCAAGTGAAGCCCTATCTGTGAGATGCAGGTATGCAAAACCACACCCCCTCAGATCTGCGGAAAAACCTTTCTCCATGGAACCGGTCCCTGGTGCCTATAAGATTAGGGACTGCTGGTCTAAACAATGTCTTACTTAAGCCATTTTAACCAGAGTATAAATGTACCACAAACATGCAGTTTAAAAATCCACAGGGTTTCACTTTCAAAAAAATGCACTATATTTCTTGTTTCTCATGCACGTCTGAACAGCTCAGTAGGTATGAATGAAACATTAGATCCACGAAGAAGGGGTCTATATAACTAAATATTCTGAACATTTTAAACTATGGTATAAATATCAGGAGTAATATGGGTAAAGTCTACGTAATCTAGTAATTACTTTAAGCTTCAGTATGGTTGACCTCCTTGATGAATAATGCCATCTATGAAGCCAACATAGTTATATTCATCTAAGTTAAGGCAATGCCTGTTGTATTCAAGATCATTTTAAGGTGCCTGTAGATCCTAGTAATTTTGTGAGTCTTTATCACCTATGAATATTGCTGTTTTGCATATTGTGTATTATTTTCTGACAACAGAGGGAATGTTTAAAGCAGGGAATGAAGACTGTAAATAATGTGACCATTTTACAAGCCATTGTGGGTGGCAGAAAGAAAAAGTTTACTAATAGTCAGGTGAACACAGTAATAATAATTTATATCACATTTAAAAATTATCAAGCTTCATATGTGAATCCATTTAGCTGTGTGGTTGTCCCTTCTCCCTCTAATTGAAACTAGAAATTAATGAAAACAAGGTGTAAATAGGTTTTTTTGTAAAGAGTAGTCTAAAGCAACATAATAACATGTTTGGCAAAAGCTATAATTGAAAAACAATTATTTTGGTCTGCACACAAGTCCTTTGATATTTATCTAAGGATTGCAAGTGCTGTTCTTCGGTCTGTGTTCAGTTCTGCTTCATTGTTTTGCTTGGGGACATTGCCAACGAGCCTCCCCTGTGCTGTCTGGGTAGCAAAATTCTGGCAGGCTGCAGAAGGTGATATGGATGCCATATATTCACCCAGCAGAGGAATGAGCATCTAATGGCCAGCAACTGTGTTTTCCTCTTTAACCCTGCTTTGTCTCTGTGCCAATGTGGTACAATGGCCTCTTTGAGAAGGGGCAGCTGATGGGTTGTTGGCAGGAAAACTGGAAGTAGACATTTGCAGCTGGGCAAAAAAACAACTTTATTTCTAAGCGACTACAACTGTAACTGATGCCAATTTCCAAAACAAAACTGCCATTTCTCCTGTGCTCATGACAGATGCCTGGAGCCAAAAGGAGGGCAAACTGTTGCTTTCATCTTAAAATGCTGTTAGATTAACATTTTGCAGCCCTTGAACTACAATATCCTGAACACATTTGCAGAAAGATCCAGGACTGAGAAACGAAGTTATTTTTTCACACAATAGTATTTTTCAACCAATACTGGAAGGGGATATGCTTAGGGGTTTTTTTTTTTTTTTTGTATAACAGATGAATAGTTGTGCAGTGTGGAATCTGTCAAAGGTTGAACAAATACAGCTAAAATATTTTTCCCATGTTCTCACTATCAGTGCTAAATCCAAAACAAGAACAATAAAAGCAATAGTGGATCAGTGTAAACCCTTGTGTGTAGCATTCTGTTCCCAATCAAGGTCCCATGGAAAGCCCACAAACAGACTAAAATCCAATAATGCTCATGATTTGTGTTCTTGGCAACTGTTATTCAGGTGCCTAATGATATTGAAAACTATAATCACTGTCAGGACTACTTCCAACAGCAGCATTATTCTACCTGCTTATCCCAGATATATAGAAAGTAGTCCTAATTGCTGCTCAAAGAAAAGGCATTCACTTTTATTTCATTATTTAATATGCTGCATGACTAAATTACAAACTGAAGTCATGTGTGGAACTAAGCTGTTTTGAACCCAATAACTAATCATTTGCCTACTTAGATTGTTTGAAATGTTTCTGGCAAAATGTGCTATTTGAATATTCCATGTCTGACTTCAGTCTCTCAGGCATGAATCCACAGGGGAAGGTTTTAGGAGTTGCACTGATTCACAAACTAAATACAATCTCAACAATTGATGGCTAGGGGAAAATGCCAAATACCATTTTAAGTCTGTATCTATTTTATAGATGTACTAGGTGAACTGGATGTGGGAGGTAATAGTAGTGTTTGCTGAAATACCATACTAAACTAAACACAAACCTTCTCATATTTTAAGAATAGCTGGACAATGGAAAAAGTTCTTCAGAGATACCAAGAATGTCCTTCCTTGCTGGTTCTTTTTTATTTAAACATCCTGTACTCATAGGCTAGACTAGTGCTGGAAGGAAGAAAGCTGGGGAGTGATGAATGAGCCAGGGATGTAGCCAGCTAAAATATCTTTGAGACAGCTGAAGAGAAGTATATGTTATGTCATTTACCCTTTTTGACAGCAATCAACTGAAACTTATTCCTGATCTGGCTTTGGATGAGTTCCAATTTCCTCTAAAAAGCTTTTCTCTCCTTCCTGGCTATTATTAGCCCCTGAAGATGCTGTCTGCAATAAAATCAGGAGGCCATCACTGTGTGTAACCTTAGAAAATAAGAGTAGATGTCTCAAGCACACACCACCATCTATAGAGGCTAAAGAAAGAATCTTTTTGAACATAATGGTAGTCTACAAAGAATTTGAAATAATTATCCAGATCAACAAGCTTTGTCATGTTGATGGACAGGCTTCTGTCTCTTTCACTGACACTTTTGAAAGATACTGTGAAAATAGGAATGAGGAATAAAAAGAGATGTATGAAGAAACCAGCAGTGAACTCTGAGTGGTATGTCCACTTGGCATCTTTTTGATGTGGTCTGCAAACGCAATGTATTCTTTAAAGCCATCCAAACCCAGATTTGAGGTCACGCTGGCATGCAAATCTATAGTCACAGCAAAGATAGTAGGACCAGGATCACTTACACAATTAGGAAGCAATTAGAGAAGCCAACTGAACCCAGGATCTTCTGAAATGATGTCTTGGACAATGACAGCTGATGGGAATTGTCCCTGTATCAGCCCTTGAGTGAGGATGCCTGTCCTCATTGTCATAAGGAACTGAAGGGAGGTGATCACAGCAGACTGAAAAAGCATGGCAAGGTGTGGGCTTTGACTGACAATTCCATTTTCTAGCTTTAGTGAATAATTAACAAACATTACATTTATGTTTCTAGATTATGGATACTGAAAGTATAACTTTCAGTCCTAAAAAGGGGACAATTTGGATGAGGTTGGGGAGTGGAAATGGTTATGGAAAATACACACCACATACAATCTCAAGTAGAAACTATGAAATGACTGACTTCTTAGTAACTGCTGGTGAACCACATGTTTCCTAATTAGAGGCTGTTTTCATGTAGCTAGAAGGTGGTAGTAGGCAATCACAGAATTTACAAAATATTCACAACAAACTTAATTTTAGTCAAGCCCAGAAGTATACCTGTAAGGGCATATTTCTGTTCTCCCAAAACTGGCTTCAAAGATGAAACACTCAGATGTCCATGCCAGCAAATATATTTAAAGGGAATCCATAAAATAGGAATATCCTGTACATTTTTAAAATGCTGTTCCACATCTATAACTTTTTCTTCTTCCATTGAACTGTGTTTTGGATATGTGTATCCAATGGAAGCTTTCTCAACTATAAATGCACCTACTCTTTCCCTGTAAAACATCTTAAAATGTTTTAGTGGATGGAGATATCACTAAAAGCTCAGCTGCAGCTGCCAGCTGTTTGCGGGGAGGGGGGAGGGAACCTCTGTCGACATGCTAACAGTGCAGGAACCACAGGAGATATATTGTTAATTGGAAAATATTCAGATGCGTGGAATCTAGAATCTTGTTTGGTTCTATCATTGTGGGTCAGAATTAAGGTCATGAACCAAGCACTAAAAAAATAAAGAGAGAAGTATTATGAAAGCTATGGAAAAAAAAATAAAGTGTCTGCTGGCATTGTCCCATCAGGCAAGCCTTTTGGTGAGAAGCTTTCTCCTGTCTCCCTCCTGCACTTTGGATTCTCTTAATCATTGATTGGAAAAAATGGCCAATGCACCTCATCTTCCTATTCCTTTATTTCTCTTATATCCAGCAGTCCAGGGGCAATTAGGAGAGCCCAGAGGCCCTTTCTCTTCAAGTGTCAATCTTCAGTAGAATGGCAAATAGGGTGGCCTTTTCGTTGCCTGTTTCTTCCTGCTCCTCTTCCTCTTCCTCTTTCTTCATCGGCTCCTCTCTCCACCCTCGTCCTGCTCCTCCTCTCCCCCTACACAGTTCTACAAAGTCAATAAGTGAAATTTTCATAAACGTACATTTGTGAATTATCTACTATTTGTGATCCAAATTTTAAAAGCACTCTGTTTCAGCTGAGAAGATACTGAAAGTTTTTTTAATTGGGGGGGGGGGAAATTCTTGTATTGGAATTAATATTATTTTCAAAAACTAAAATATTTCTTGAAAGAATGGAAAGGTCCCATGTCTTGAAGGATGTCGCTGGGTTTAATAGCATCAGGGTAAACTGAGCAAAACATGTCCGGCTCCAGGGATAGTGTTACGTTGGTTACATAAAGACTAGACCAGTGATGGCGAACCTTTTAGAGACCGAGTGCCCAAAAACTGGCCCCACCCCCACTCCACCCCTGCCCCGCCCTCACCCATCCCCCACCCCACCTGCCCGCAGGGCCCTCACCGCCTCCAGGGCCCACTGCAGATCGCCAGGCAGCCCAGCAGCGCCATGGTGGCCACGCCCTCTGCCCGCACCCTGCAGCATCAACTGTGCAGGATGGGGCATGAGGGCAGAGTCTTGTCTATGCTGCCTGGCTGCCATATCCTTGGCTGCGCTGCTCCGTGTGGGTCATGCTCGGGGGCGACTCTCCTCCAGAGGGGCTGCTGGTGAAGAGGGAGTCATGGGGGGAGGGGAGGCTGGAGCAACAGCACTGTGCCCACGGAGAGGGCTCTCAGTGCCGCCTCTGGCACACATGCCATAGGTTCGCCACCACTGGACTAGACCAATGCTAATCAATTACTGCCATAACCCTTGGCAAATCTACTCCTGAATAAAATATATTCATTTAACACCACCACTTAAACTTTTGAATACATATCTATTAAATTAAATCATTTTAATTTTTTTTTAAATTCTAACCTGTAAGCAGCAGAGCTATTACAGCCTAATTTTTTGACTAAAGTTTTAATGACTCTGTAGATGGAATGTAATTGAAGTTAAAGAAGGAGGGAAAAATAAACCGTAAATTTGCCAGGAATAATTTTCCAATAAACCATGGAAATTCTTACTCTACAAGCTTGACCCTGACTTTTCTAGAATGTTCAATAGCATACAGTATGTTTAATGTTTTAATGAAATACAATAATACATTTCTAAGAAATTATTGGCATAATCATGACACACCTTCTATAGAAAATAAGGCTAATGTGTTTGGGGAGACTCACCTCAATCTCTACATAGTCGTGAAGCTTCTTGCAAGTGGCTGCAAATGTTTCTGTTGTGCCAAATTCAAAATACCACAATTTATTCTTCATTCTGACATAGAGAAACAAAATAGGAAAAGCATTCTGGAGTGATACATTCACATGATACTTTATCTATATATGCTGCCTTGCTAGCAGCTACAGAGTTGCAGTCTACATATGTTAAGAGCTAACATAGTATGACTGGGAAATGATAGAGTAAAAAAAAATTATTCTAGAAAATTAGACAATTTATGGAATTGCATCACAACAGCACTAGATGATGGAATATTTCAATTAACCAACTACTTTATACACTTTTCCCTTTTCAGGAAAATTTATTTAGGAAAAATTTGCCATTTGCAGTTACAAGTTTAACAAAATGTAAAACCTCCTATCTTCTTGTTTTTTGTTTTGTTTTGTGAACTCTGAAGATAGAAATATCTTTTCTTAATAGAATAGTTGCTATCTTCAGAACCAAATTTTAATTAAAAATGAGACACCATATTATTCTGTACCAGTCATTAATGCACGTCACAGTCCTATAGATTGTATCAGAGGATTTACCCCACAATTTAGCAGTCCAAGGAGCTTATAGAAAGTAAACAAGAATAAGGATGCTTCCACAAGTTTCCAGTCCTCAATACCTCGCAAAATCAGTCTAAAGCTAGGTTCAAATAGGCAGTGTGACACCATAAGTCAATCAGCCAACTCCCATTATTCCCAGTCAGCTGACTGTTGATGATGGAAACTGAATATCTTCTTATATTGGAAGGAAGGCGAGAAAGCTGCTGCTGTATTTACCAATCTGGTAAATACATCTATTCCAGGGGTGTCAAACTGTTGGCCCGCGGGCCGGTTGCATCATATGGATGCCGCGCCCATCCCAGCTCCAGCAATGCAAAAAAAGTCACAATATATTGCAACATGTCATGTGACACGGTGAGTTTGATACCTGTGCTCTATTCTTTTAAGCTCCTGCCTTACTATCTGTAGATGCTATGCTTCATGTCTATCTGCCTTTCAACCTTCTGGGCACTCGTAAATTGTAACCTTCCTTATTCTTGTTCATGAATTCACATGTTTGTACATGTGGGGTTGGAGAACAATCCATTTTATGGGAGTACCTGACCTAAGTCCATAAAATCTTGTTTTTATTTCCTGTGAAAGCCTATTTCTTGACCATAGAAATCTACTATATTAATGTTTTTTTACTTGCATAATCATAGCCCATCAAGCCTTTGGAGTAAAGTCAACTAAACTGCCTCATTCTAGTTTCAATTTAATATAATTTAGAGGAAGCATATTTCCACACAGACAGATTTTTTTAAAATATAATTTAAAATATAGTAAAACAGAGCTTTGTAAGGCCAATTAAGGTAATTGGATTATTTCTCAATTCAGGATTTTTAACATGATTTTTTTTTATTATGATGGTAGAATCAAGAGTAAGTAGTGGTGGCAGACAATTTAGAAGGAAAATCATTTGTACTTCAATTTGAGAGGGCAGTATGCTTTTATTGCCCCTTCAAAATTTAGGACAGAAATATGCATGCGCCCACCCTCTTTTTCTAATACATATTTGGTGGCTCCTCTTTGGCCTAAGATGACTTCAGAGCTGTCTAAGGAACATGGTAATTTAATAGAGTTTGTTTACAGGAAGTGCCTTTACTTCTGTGTTCTATTCCTTGTATGAAAAATTTTCAACCAGATCCTCAGAAACCATCCAAAGGTTTAAAGACTGGCGTAATGCTATAAAGACAGGAACAGCAGCTGTTTGGCTCCTAGCCACTTGTAGGTGTAAAATCGTCTCCAGAACTAAATAGGGAAGTCTTGAGGTATTGTACACATTTCACTGTGCCCTATTGGAACACACTTCCTTGACTAGATCACTTGGTTTTTTTTAGGAGGGCAGCCTACTTTGAGCTCTGTCAGGAAAAAGGTCAAACGTTTTCATCCCACCTAATGGACTATACTGTATATCAGATTAAACAATAGGAATTTTGAAACACTAATGATGACATAAGACAGCTTGGTGCTTTTGCTCAGCAGAGTAAATGACTCTGTTCCAGAAATTCTCAGATTATGTTTGTACAGAGGCATTATTTTTCAACTTTTCAAGGCATTTGAAAATGTAATATATCATCTCACTGTTCACACTGAACCCAGACTATGGATCTGATAATCCATCTACTCTGTTCTATTTACTTGATTGTGCACAGCCCTTTTTCTCTTCCCCAGGATGCCATCTGGAATCCTTCCTATGCAAGACAAGTGTATGAGTAATGGTTCCACACTAAGGATGCTTTGAAAATCTTCCAAAGAATCCTAGGTTTCCAACTTTGGAAAATGAACAAGTAGAACAATCATGTCCATCCCTCTGCTTATTCTTTGCTTTATTTTTCTTAGATTACTGCTGGACCAAAACTGTACATGCATGTTCATGGATTTTGGAGAGAAGTCCACAGTTAACCAGTTTAGACCACAAATAAGTGTCAAGAAGGCATAATAAGGTAAATATTTGAATTAGGTAGAACGGAGACAAGGACTTCATAAGAGGTCAGAAAGCTGGAAGAAGTCCAATAATTTTGTAGTGAAGAAAGAATATGATAAAAAAATTAGGTGAATAAGTTGTTAATAGCTATTTTAGTCCACAATACTTCTAAGACTTCTAGTGGCAATATTCCAAGTTCTAAATTGCACCCACTGATTGAAAATTAATCCCATATTTTATCCTGTCCAACTCTATGTGAAACCTTCTGATGTTTGAATACTGCTACAAAATTTCAAAGCTTCTACAATACAGTACCCCCAATCTTCAACAGACTAAATAAGTGTTTATTACATTTACATTCTACATTTATTCTGATAACTAAAGTTGCTTATATGAATTTTATTCCACAACAAAAATCTGTAAGGTAGCTTGGGCTGAGACAGCATGACTGGAGTCACCAGTGAGTCCTATGGACAGGAGATGTTTGAACCTGGATCATTCCAGCTCAAATCCAACCTGGTAAATACCACATTACACCGGATTTTCAGATATATTTATTTCTTTTCACATTTTTTTATTCCTATGCCTACTTCCTATACTCCTGAAAATGCTTCTGAATGCCTTGATTCAATTCCTCTGGATTATAAATATGTAAACCCTCCAGGCAGAAAATCTTTATTTTTAAAACTGTGAAATATTGAAGCTATATGGAGAGTGAGAGAAGCTAATTATCTCTCTTGACAATAAAGATCAGAGTGCATAATTGTGGCAAACAGGTTATGACATTATCTAAATTCATATTAGGCTTATGGGTGAATATATGTGTCAAATATTTGTGTACACGCCAAATGGATAAAACTGTTTGTTGTATATCTATTACAGATTCAGCAAAAACTATAAAACAACATCTGAAAGGCCAAACATTATTCATTCAGCATGGTTGAAGCATGGGATTATCTTTACAGTTTCCATTTTGTATTTCCTAACCAATCCTTAAGATGCATTAGGAGGATAAAGATATGTTTACTTCAGCAGGACGACTGTTTGCTGAAGATCTATTCTTAGAGAAATGTTTGAATAGAAGAATTTTTGTAAAGTTTTTTTGAATATCTCCTGTATAGACATTAGTAAGTGAATTTTGCTTTTTTAATGAAAGCAAGCCTGGACTATTTCTCATGAATCTACATGTGAAACGTAAGCTAGTTCCAACCTAATAGTCTGTTTTGCCTTTATTGCCTGTTTCTGTTGGTTCTGGAATATATATATAATTATGAAGTGTGAATGAATGGAACTGGATCTACAGCCAAATTCTAGGAACTTTCTAAGCAAAACCTAAAATATCCAGAATTCCCAAACGTTAAGAGTTCCAAATCTTAGAATACTACATATTCTTTTGAGATCATTTTGCTCCAGGATTTTATATAGATAACGTAAGTTTCTTTCAGTAATACTTTTTATCTTAAAGATAAGTGCCATGAAATTATCCCTGATTAACAATCAATCCAGTTTGATGAGGAGTAAAACCTCAGTCAGAAGCAAAACAGTAGCTCAAATGGGCAAACACACAATAAGAAACAAAGTGTTGCTGAGTGCATACTTAGCCTAAGAGCAATTCCTCATTTCAGCCTAAGCGGCTTGTCTCGCATGCTGCTCCTGGCCAATTAAGCCAAATCCAGAAACTGCAGTCTGGATTGTTGTGTATTGATAAAGGGATCAGGCTGATGATCAGAATAGATAGCCCTCAACTTACAATCTTTTCTTTAGTGACCATTCAAAGTTACAACAGCACTGAAAAAAGTGATGTATGACTGTTTTTCACACTTACAACCATTGCAGCATCTCCATGGTCACATGATCAAAATTCAGACACTTGGCAATTGGCATGTATTTATGACAGTTTCAGTGTCCCGGGGTCATGTGATCACCTTTTGCAACCTTCTGACAACAAAGTCAATGAGGAAGCCAGATTCACTTAACAACCATGTTACTAACTTAATATCTGCAGTGGTTCATTTAAAATCTGTGGTAAGAAAGATCATAAAATGGGGCAAAATTCACTTAAATTCAATTATCTTGCTTAGAAACAGAAATTTTGGGCTCAAGTATGACCGTAAGTCGAGGACTACCTATAAACCAGCCTATCAGGGCCTACTGTTTCCTTTTAGAAATGGTCTCTCCAGATGTTTATATACCTGGATGGCTTCATACTCCTTTCCACATATCTCCTTTAACACAAATAGAGACCCTTTCTGTTTCCTCTCCTTCTTTATAACTCTGATTCTACAATAATCAATCAATCAATGAAATAAAAATTGGTTGTCTTCCATTCCTCTGTAGATTTATGGAAAATTGGTTAGCAAGGAGGAACTGTTCAGATTTATGAAAACGATGTAGAAAAGTTCTTATGTTGCATCTTAAATATATAAAAGAGGGGGAAAAAACAGGAAAGGAAGGGAAGGTTTGCGAAAGTGAGGGCAGGGGGTGAGAAAGCAAGAGAAAGATCTTCACTAAAACTAGCAAAAACAAGAAAAAAGGGCCCACTGAATGAAAGAAGGGCTGAATGTTGCATGAGCTTCCTAGGTTGAAGATAGCTGACTGACTTAATAGGCCAATCATAAGATTGTAACAAGAATAACATCTGTTGACCAGTAGCTAACAACCAAGGACAAAATGGCCACCCAGGGCAGAGGAAGCAGCCCAAGAGGGAAAAGGACATGCCAGGTACTACACCTAATCTGTGCAGGGTCTGCTAATAGAATGGAAGAAGTCACTGGAGACCATCTGCTCTGAAGAGCTTAATATGGCTCAGGTTGCAAAACAGCAGTTTCGAACTGAAGCTAGAAAACATGGGTGTGAAGTGCATTTGGAGAAGGCTGGGAGTAGGAGGCAGCCAAAGTCATCTGTATCTGCACTCAGGAAACAATGAATGGTCTAAATTGGCACTGGTCTGTGCTAAGAGTTGTGATCACTGGCAAAATCAAACTTGTCAGAAAAATTCCTACATTTTCTCCCAAGATTGGGGAGAGAAATCTTTTTATTTGTTTTTTATGATTGTTATACAGTTAGGATTCAGCAACCATCATTTTGGAGTCTCCATTTCCCCCCCAAGAGACCCATCTCTACTCACAGAGTAAGGTATGACACAACTCAAGAGAACCAATATCGTCATTCACTTTAACAATAAGTAGAGGCTAGAATTTGTACACGTTTATCCTTGTAAATTGTTAAAAATGAATGAAACATGTATATACGCAAACCTTGGCCTTTGTGGGTTGATTCTTAACAGGTGGACAATATGACATAAATTGCTATTTATATGGCATGCACCCTTCCCCTTATTTATTTCTTCTTGCCAAGCAATTCTTTAGAGTATAAGGCTTTTCAAAACTACAAGTCTGCCCACCTAAGGCTCAAATATAGTTCTGCAATGGCCAAAACAAAATGGCCAAAGTATTAGATTGTAAGAACAATAAAATATTTTACACCATCAGACAATGGTTTCCACTACTAAAGGGTGTTCCATCCTGATGAGGCAGTCATAAGCATTGGGGTGTATAACATTTTATGGGCTGTTGGCTTAGCAGTTATGCTGAGGATGAAAAGCTTCTACTAAGTTAGGGGACTAGAAATGGGATAGATATGGGTGCAGCAGCTCAGACATCAATTATTTGTCCTAATGGAAAATCAAAGCAGTTCCAGGTAGCAGCATGGAAAAGACTCTCACAAACTGAGAGCTAATGATATCTGTTTCATCTGTTTTAGGAATGTTTCATGTTTGTAGGGGAAAGAATAGCACTATCTTTCATTAAAAAGCCCCCAACAAGATTGTTGATCTCTCTCTCTCTCTTTCCCCCTCTTTCTCTTGCTCTCCATGTGACTGCCACATTTACCATGGGAAAGAAGGCAATTGTTATATGCTGCTCAGGATCTAATGTACTTATATTAATCCCATGGACATAGAAGAAAATGGCATTAGAGCACATGGTAGTTAGAGGTAATGAAATTCACATAGTTTGGTGGATAGTCCATGGCTGGATTGTCCCACAGTGAGTATTCTAATATATTCATTCTCTTGTGCCTACTATTAAGCAGCAGCTGCCATTAGAACACATCTTAAGATAGAAGTGCTTCACAACCAAACTTAACAATTCACAAAAAAATGATTCTACAAATAGATCTCTGTGTAGACTTCAATATTCCAGCAAAAGAAGATGATTTCTAATTGTTCAATAACAATAGCAACAATATGACTTCTCCTCACCTAGATTATATTACTTAAGAAAAAGCCTTGGGCTGATTAGGATTGGATCTTTATATAGAAGGGTGTTAGTGCTATCAATTCTAGAACTCAGAACAAATTCTTAGCCCCAGAGTTTTTAAATTTAGGGATATGGCTTTTTGGTTCTCAGATCTCAGGGTTCTAAAACAATGATTTAGTAACTGATTGATTCCATTGCTTTGCATTTTTAATTTCATTTTCCAACTGAAAAAGATTACCAATGCAATTTAAAATAATCTGATTCTGCTTTCAGGTTTATAATATAAAAGACATGGCATAAAAGCAATTGAACTAGAAAGAAGAACAAAGAGAAAAATATCAAAGTTATTATATGGGTTCTTGGGGGGGGGGAAGTGATTTGTTTTGAGCCAGATTGTTCTCCCTACAAGAGTCTTCTTGGAAAACAGAGTGTGCACCTGTAGTTTCCTCTCCTGATTCCTAGCTAAATTAATAATGGATGAGGCCAAGGTACACTATGAGTAGGTCCTGTTTCTGAAATTTGTCCATGTTTGAGCAACCCCCCCACCCCAAACCAGCTTTTCCCCCTTTCCAGGCACGTGGTCCAAGCCAATTGAATCAAAACCCACACGTTGGCATGTTTTCCTTTGGTACGAGAAAAACAAAGTACATAAATACTTCCAAACCCATGCCATAAGGAATGTATTACTCTCAGAGTGGGAGATAGTTAAAAAAAAATTATATGAAAATACCTGAGTGGCTTTCCACAATGGAAGCATTTGCGTATCCGAACTTAATTAACTATGATAAACTTGTGGCCTATAAAAACATTTTAGATAAAGGAAAACTTAAAGATAGGCAAGAACTTCAACAAATTGGCATTGATTTAACATGGTGGTCATACTTGCAAATTCAAACAAGATATGAAAAAGATGTAAAAGTAATGGGATTCTACAAAGAACTAGATAAAATACTTTTGAAAACAGATGAAAATCTGATTAAGAAACTTTAGAAAATTCCTGCTAAATTGGAAGATGGAAGAAGAACAAGTAAAAGAAACAATGATAGTGTGGGCAAAGAATTTTGGTTATTCTATAGATTTAGAAGATTGGTAAAAACTATGGGACTGAAATATTAAATTTACTAAAGCAGCTGCATATAAGGAAAACTTATATAAAATGTTTTATAGATGGCACGTGACACCAGTTAGATTAGAGAAAATGTTTAAAAATGTATCAGAAATGTGTTGGAAATGTAAACAACAACCAGGCACTTATTACCATCTCTGGTGGATATGTCCTAATGCTAAAAGGTTTTGGTTTAAGATCCACATGTGGCTAGAAAAGATGATTAAAATACAGATAGAATTTAAACCAGAACTCTGTTTGTCAGGAATATTAGGTTTGAATTATGGAAAAGAGAATGAGTATTTAATATTGCATGTGTTGACAGCCACAAGAATAATATTTGCCCAATTTTGGAAAAATGAAAATTTACCATCTGACCAGACTATAATAACAAAAATGTGCAGAAATGGATAGACTGACTTTAGAAACGAAAGAGAAAGAAGACACAATTTATTTTAAAACATAGGGGAAATTTTATTATTGGTTAGAAACACGCTAGAATGAGAAAAGGTTATGAAATTTAAAGAGATAAGTGATAATTTGTATTTATATTCCATGATTATTTGTATGAACTTGTTCTGATTTCTTCTTCTTCTTCTTCCTCTTTGTATATTTGTGATCTTAAACAATATGGTAAACTATAATTAATATGTAATATATTATTATTTTAAAGTGATTATAATTAATTAATACTGTTAAGTAGTGAAATGAATGAGAGCTATTGACTAATTTGTTATTTACATGATTATATTGAAAGTTGTTTAATAATAGAGTAATTATTAAGATTTAATATGTAAACCTGGACTGGTAGACTTGCTGAAGCGATATTATTTTGTGGGATTAATCCCACTTTTGTGTTACCCCTTTCCCCTGGTCTAACCTTTTTGTATGTTTCCCTTTGTCTTATCCTTTTTGATACTATCCCTTTATTACCTTTATAAAACTCAATAAAAATATTTATAACCCCCCCACACACATTTAGATAGAGGGTGCACCGACCAGGGAAGGCTTAATCAAGTAATTTGGTCCAACTATAGCAACCTTATAACCAGTACAAAAGAAAAAAGAATTGTGGGAGGGGGGAAAGCTGATATTTACCTGCTATTGAATTTTTCGGGATGCTTTTCCCTCATCAAATGGAATCTATGTGCAATGGATGCATCCTGTAAAAAGGAGAAAGGGAAGGAAATGAAGCCTTTTATAAAGTACAGTCAATTTTCCAGAATTCTTAACACTAGAACTTATAGATTTGAACTTTACTTCTTATATTATGCCTTCCCTCAATTATTATAACTAGTACAGATGTTACATTTCTCCACAAGCTTCTTAAAGTTACCATATCAGAACAATGTCTGTTTTCAAGCACTTTCATATTACTATAGTTTGCACTTTGCATTTCTTACCCCCACTTTAATTTTCATTTGTTTATTTAAATAACATTCAAAAAGTTTTTGGTACCAACAAAAATGCACATAAAATAATAGAATGCTGAAGAAAAAGCCAAGGCCTCTGGGGATTGGATCTCAGGGGCAATTGCATTTGCCTGTTATTTCTAAAAAAATTAAAGTGCTATCTCTGGGAAGGGAATGCAATCTGCCAAAGAATTATCCTTTTACTGCTTTTCAAAGAGAACCTTGGCAAGATACTGTGGTGGCTGTGGGGAAGAGGGAGAGGATGCATTGATCTGGAAGATGGGGTGATGCAAGTGTTTCTCCCATGAGAAACTAGCCTGCCACAAGTTCTCCCTAGAGCTCCAGTCAAGCAAAAAGAAAAAAAAGAAAGAAAAAAAGAAAAGAAAGAAACTTGTTTTAAGATTGCTTCCTGCCAAAGCACAGCTGGAAGTAAGTTGACTCATCTATCAACCACTGTCAACACTGAAGGATCACAGAAATTCAGCACTAGGTTTGAAACGTGTGGAATCCTTGTATGGAGGTGTTGAATGTATGCCCTTGTATTTTCTGCCATTTTACAATATGCAGTATAAAATGGCAGCAAATTTGAATGCTGTTCAATGAAAAAGGAACCATTTCTTCTAATATAATGACTTCTTCCAATATCATGCCCTTTTAGATACATTGGCCTAATTGGGGAAAGCTAATGTATATTATTCATAGTTATCTGTTTTGTACTCCTAGAATACAAAAGGCAAAATATTCAGCTTAAAAAAAATCCCTTAAGAATCATTAACAGGATAGTCTTGTATTAGATACCTTTGGCCATTCTTTGCTTTGCTGACAATTGTGTTCTTATCTTTACTTTGTTTAAGAAAGCATAAAGTTTAAACTCTTTTCAAATCACAAATAGCAATGCAAAGAGCTTTCCCTCAGCACTGAGGTTTGGATTGCCTGTGGAATGCACCCTCCTCATCCAGGGATTAGCAAAGTCCACATCCCTCTCCTCATGATGGAGTAGTGAAGTGTCACTAGAAAGGGACTTTGCGAGTCCAGGACCTGATCTATTTGTAATCCAAAACTTCCTGTTAGTGATATAGTTACTGGCCCACGTTTCTTAGAGTCCAAAAATAAAGAGAGAGAAAATGGGAAGCAGCATGTGGCAGCCTGGGCTCAAGAACAGCTTGTTATCATCAGTGGTAATGCTTAAAAGCATCTTGTTAGAGCTGGGATTCCAGACTAACAAAGCCTGTTTATGTACTTTTCTTGTTCTTCATTACCCATAACTCAGAGATTATAATAACTTATTCTGTGGATCTATAGATATAGGGTATATAGGACACCAAAGTCAATTTTCTTAAATATCTGCAAAGCATGAAAAATAAGTTAATGTAATATTAATCACGTGTTATTGATTTTAAAAGGTCAGCACATCAATTACAGCCATTTGTAAGGCACATTGCTTATGTCTGTAACACATTTATGGCAATCATCAATCATTTATAAATGGAGCCTTACTATAACAGAAGAACATTTTTAAACAAATGCTTCAGTGTTCCCCCCCTTTCCATCAGCTGTTTCTCCTACCATGCCAGAACATTAAACTAGTCAGCTGTTGTGAGGGGCTTCCTAGCAACCCTACAACATGGGTAAACTAACATTATTTGACCAATTTCCATCAGTGAAAATACATACCAACCATGAAGGCACACAGAATGTTTAATAGGACAAAACGGTGAAATAGTTAAAATATAATTAGGTAAAAAGGTTACTTCTAAAAGGCTGTACATGCAGTTATATAAGGCTACTAGTATAGCAGGAAAGCATATTCACCCGGACAGATGTGCCCTGGCTAATAGGGCCAGAAAATAGCACATAACGGAAGATATGCACCTTCAAACTCTGCCCTATTACCACGGAAAGGAGGAGAAACATAGACTGGAGGAGTATTTTGTTCTAGAATATTTATTCTTGCTGATCGCTGCTAATCTATAAAGAGGTTGGTAATGGTCAAAGGTGCTTTTTGAGCATCACTAAATAAATAAATCCTGAAATGTGAAGTCTTGTTATTCTTTTTCTCCTGCTAATGTTATTGACTCAGCCTCAGAGAAAGCTCCGAGAGCTTTCTGGATAGGACCAATGTGGAATTGTACTATATCCAAATAGAACAATTTGAATATCTTGTGTATATTTGATATGATGTCAGAAATTACTCTTCTGATTTTTTCAGGACTTTATTCTTTTTAGTTTTTATTTTGGCAAGCCTCAAAAGTTGGAACTGAACTTGACTACATTCACTCAAAGCTAACACCTGATAAGAATGGATATTTAAAGTTTCTAACTTAGCAGAAATGGCAAAAATTTCTGTTTATTTGAAGGATCATACACAAGAAAGATATATTATTGTATGGAGAAGATGGATAGATTATATTCAGAAAAAATATGGGACTATAAAGTTTCATTTATTTTATGAGTAAATTTTATAGTAACTGTTGTAGAGATTTGTTTATATGACTTAATTTAAGGGGAGTTAAAGGTTAAGTATGATGTTTTTTTCTCTTTTATTTTCTTTTTTCTTTTTTATTATTAACTTTCTTAAGTTAAGTGGGTGGGTAATGATAATATAGACATAGTAAACACTTGGGCATTTCCCCTATGCTGCGTTCATGTGTGTGAGAGGGATGAGAGGGGAGGAAGGAGTAGGGAGGAAGTAGGATGGTTAGAGGAGAAGGGGAGAGGAAGAGAGTAGGAGGGGAGGAGAGAAAGAGGAGGGAAGTGGGGAAGGATTAGAGAGAGTGGACGCAGCCTGGGGGGGGGGTGGGCAGGCGGTACCAATGGTTAGGAATTTAATTGTATTTTGTATGAATAAATGGAAAATAAAAAGTTTTTTAATAAAAAAAAAAAGCTAACACCTGATAATCTCAATTGCTCACACTTATTTATTGATATTTTGTGTCATAAATCCTCTTTATAGCAGTATGCCTACTTTCTTAAGAAAACGCTATCATTTCCTTGCAGTATCATGTTTCTCATTATATCAATAACAAATGTGTGATATTAGTCCTTTATAAGGGTATATAAGCAAGGTGATTGGCTTTCTGTTCTGGCTTGGCTGCAGTTCCCTTTCAGCATATCACCAGTTATCAGGAAAAGCACCCACTGATCACAGTACTACAAGAAAATGGAGATGTTTTAATTTCAAAATTCGACTTGGGCTTATTTCTCTGTTTTTTTTTTGCCTTTCTACCCATAATTCACACTGGCATTTCTCAAACTCCAATAATATTAAGAAACATATGGGACAATATCATAGCAGAATCAGACCCAGAGAAAAAGGAGGTAGGCCATGTCATAACTGTGCAGCTATAAGTAGTCTTCGGTTAATGACCATTTATTCAAAGTTATGACAGTACTGAATGAGGAGACTTACTACTGATCCTCGACGTTGTGGCAATTACAACTCTCCTGCAGTTGCAATTCATGCATTTGGCAAGCAGATTGCAATTTATTTATTTATGAGACTTATATACCGCTTTAAGTGCAAGCACTCTCTAAGCGGTGTACACCAGTAAGCAATGTATATATATATTTACATTGCCCCCAACAATCTGGGTCCTCATTTTACCTACCTCGGAAGGATGGAAGGCTGAGTCAACCTTGAGCCGGTGAGATTTGAACCGCTGACCTGCTGAACACAGTCAGCTAAAATGACCTGCAGTACTGCACTCTAACTGCTGCGCCACCTCGGCTCATTATCATGGTTGCAGGTCCTGTGGTCACATGTTCACCATTTGCAACCTTCCTGGCCAGCTTCTAACCAGCAAAGTCAATAGAGAAGCTGCAGGAGTAAAATTGTGAAAGTACTAGCAGTTGGGTCCTATGGATCAGGAGAACTGAAACTAATTGTTTGGCAACCATGATTGAAACTGGCAACTTCAGAGAGAGTAGTAAATAATGAAAATAAAATGTGAAAAATATGCTAACGGCTGCGGCTTTTTCTGGACTTGAATGGTAGCCATGCAAGCCATGCAAGATCAGGACAATATACTGTATGTTTGAGTTAAAAAGGCAAGGAAATGTCTATAGGACAGCAAAAATGAGTTTCATCCTATTGCTGCCTCCATAATGTCCTCTGAATCAAAGCAAGTATCTTCTTGTGGCAGTACTGTCACCACGTCTCCTCCAGACCATTATCAAGTAATTTCCTGACTCTGCAGAGGTACCCTGTGAATCCAGGAAACAGTATAGTTTATTTAAGGAGATGCTGATAAAGTGGGGGAACATGTTGGAGCTGCAATACTTTTCCTGCTTCAGATCTGAACATTGTGCAACCTACCATAGAAGCATTATATCAGTTTTGAAGGATCAGAACTGGCAGCTTCTACGCTACCAAGAAAAGTCCAAGCTATGTGGTTCAGGTCCTTGCTGGTATCTTATTGGTCATCTTTCCCAAATGTATCTGTCCAGAAACTAATAAAGAGTTTGAGTGAACTCTCCGGTTGTGTCTTTTGGTATGTTGCGGTCACTGATATACTCTATATCAGTGGTTCTCAACCTGTGGGTCGGGACCCCATTTGGGGTCGAACGACCATTTCACGGGGGTTGCCAAACAATGCAATCCGCCATTTTTTCCCCCTTTTCCTTAGCTGTGCTACTCCCTTTTATTCTATTGGCTTTTGAAAGCCAATAGAATAGACTCTCTTGAATAGAGTCTAATTCTATTGGCTTTCCAAAGACAATAGGAATTGTCCAGGCTGTCTCTGCCCTGCTGAGCCCGCCAAAAGTCCCATTCTGCAAATGGTGCTGCACCAGCTGAGTAGTCCTCGACTTACGACTGGTTGAGTAATCCTCCACTTACGACTGGTTGGGGGTCACAGCATTAAAAAGGTTGAGAACCACTGCTCTCTATGGTGTTATTATTTGTTTTATTATTCTATACTGTTTTTAGTGAAAAATAGTCAGAAGCAAACAGGCAGAATGCCATGCCACGGACTTCTGAAATGCATGCACTATGGAAATGATCCTTCTATTATACCTTCCTTTGCTTCCCAATCAATTCTCTACCTTGAATCCTTCCATAATTAATGATGTTCTTATTAATGTCCTTGATAGTCCAATGCATTGGGAATAGTATGAAGAGAAAAAAATGAAATATTGGAGACTTAAATGTTATCAGCATAGTAAAAGATGACAGGATTGCAGTCCCAAATATTTGGAAAGCTACATAAATAAGGTAACACAGATTGCTTACTACTCCTATGGAAAAATAGTTGTTGATGATGCTGTATGGGACAGGATCTCCGTTTTCCTCTTTGTCATTGGGTATGACATCAATTTGCCATCGATCCAGCATTACCTCAGTACTGTGCTCAATATCTTTAAGTATTTTTATTAGGTTGCCTCCTTCATAACCTTGGAATAGAAAAAAAAAACGGATAGGTGATGAGGAATAAAATGTTATGGTGGAATTTGCCAAGCATTAATGGGGCAATAGAGTAAGAGAAGGCCAGGCAGTGAGGGGCTCTACAGAATATATAGCCAGAAAAGAAAGGCAGGTGATCTGCAATGGAAGCAGAAATCAATCTGATGTAGTATAAGTCTCACCACTGGGGTTGAAATCTGAGGCCTTGTACTCCATCCCCAACTCTCAACTCTCAATTAATTGCTGGTGGCAAAAACATCAGCATTTGCTGACTCTGGGCCAGCAAAACAATGTACATTCCATGTAAAGACTATATAAAATCCCAGCCCCAATAACAATGTTAAATCTAGCTTCAAATTGCACCTACGGTATGAAGCAGTACTTTGTGGGGTAATAGAGTTATTGATTGGCTATAACTGCTGACTGCATGATAACTATTATGGGATATCTGCATGGGATATATACTTTAAATAGGAATGCATCCACATCACGGAGATCAAGAGCGTTTGTGAAGAGCCTCCAATGATACTTTAACAGGGTGTGCATACACATGGGGCATGATGGCTTCGGCATACACTCATTTCTACCAAGGTCTCCATACTCTTGTCTCACAACTCCCCAGAGGAGAGCCAACTAAATATGTTAATTGTGATAGCCCAGTCGTGTACTGATAAATGTATAACAATCAACAATCCCATCTGTATGGCTGCCACTACTCTGCATTGCTAGCTGCCAAACAGATGATATGGCACCATAAGCACTGTAGCTCATCTCTGTATTCAAGTGGCTCATAAAATTCCAGAATATTTAATAATCAGTTCTTGTGAGCTAGTATAAGCCAATTCCAGCACACCACTGCACCAGTCACTTTAAAAATCAATTCTATCACTGTTTTACAAGGAAGGTGGTAAGTGGCCACCTTCTTCTTTCAGTAGCATGACTGGACAGGAAAATGTATGCAAAGATTTCTTTTCCAGAATCAGTACTACTGGTTCATTAAGAATTTAAATCTCTATTGTATCAAACAAGATCAGAAAGTTACGTTGCAAATGGAAAAGAGAAGAAAATTAAGAAAAATAAACAAATATCTCTTAAATAAACTGATCTCAGTTCCTACTAACCCAGGAAATAGATGTTCTCTAAATGCCAGGATCTGTCACATGTATACATGCCATAAGTTCACACAGCCCACAGCCCAATCCACAAAATGCAACAGATCTATACAACAACCAGCTTTGCTGGTCTAGCTTTTTGTCCAGATTCACTAGTTCCTCTCCTGTAGCTGCCAAAGCTGGAACTTTTGCCTTCCTATGTAATTACCCAGCATCAAAGGAGAAGCACAAAAACCGAAAACAAAAGAATGCCTGCTCTGTTTACATACCCATCTGAGAAGGAAAACTGATTGGCTACTTGGTGTTCAATTGTGGGGTCATGTTTAATTTTCTCCACTTATCATCTGAATGGTGAAGTGAAGTTACTTTTCCTTTATCTTTTCATGAAATTTCCCCATATTCACAATAGTAGTAAAGCATGGAAAATGGCTGGTGGCATTAAAAACAGCTGACAGGTTTCAACAACACATGAGATTGCTAGCAAGAAAAATCATTGGCAAGTCATGGCATGAAGTTATGGTAAATGAACCAAAACATTGGACTGACTTTAGAGACTTACCTCCTCCCCATCGGAGGCAACGGGCAAGATCATTCCCTGTTCCCAATGGCAGGATAGCCACAGGAGGGTGCTTTGCTAAGTTCATTTTATCTGCAAAGAAATAAGCAAACCATCAGAGGCCCACAGATAGGCCTTTGGGTATGATGACCTTCTTTTGCAACATCTGCCAGAGGAGAGCTCACAGGAGTAGTAAAGCTTAATAACTCCCAAAGGGATAGAATTCACTTGAATTGTGTTCACTGACTAAAAATAAAAACAATAGTAGCGAGAGTACATGATGTACCCGAAGCAAATTGGCTAGAAGACTTGGCCTCAGTGTGATAGATGCAGTGGATGGAAATCCACTAGTAGTGAAAGAAATGTGGATGGGGAGGGAGGAGTTGGGGATTAGTATAGTAGAGTCCCTGATAATTATAATGAACCTTACCTCTACATCAACACCCCCCCCGTTTAATCAATAGCAATCGCAATAGCACTTAGACTTATATGTCACTCCACAGTGCTTTACAGCACTATCTGAGCAGTTTACAAATGTCAACCTATTGCCCCCAACAATATGGATCCTCATTTTACTGACCTCGGAAGGATGGAAGGCTGAGCTAACTTTGAACATGTCATGATCCCACTCCTAGTATGTGGGTAGAGTTAGCCTGCATTACTTCATTCTAACCACTGCACTGCCATGGCTCATGCAATTAGCATGACATTAATTCATGGAGGGGAGGAGAAGTGACACCACTACACTGGTGATATATACAAATTAAATTATCAATAATGAATGTTAATATAATTGATTACAAGATATGTAAATAGCCACCTACTCTGCTCCTCATACCAAGGAAGGTTAAAACCTAGGCTTATTCTTTCAGATTTTCATCTAAACTGTGCTTGCTGTTGTTTTTAACCTGTACAATTTATCATTAAGTCCTTAGCAACTATGAAGAAGTGGATGATAATAATAAGGATGCAAACTGTGCATGGAGTATCTGCCTTTCTTGTCAGAGTTCTCTAATTCACAGTTTCTTTTGTTACACTGGACAGAGATATGCATATTCATGAGAAAGAAGCATCTCAGCCTCTCCTTCCCTTCTCTTGGCAGTAACCCTAGACTTTACCCATGCTTTAATGATAATTTTGTTTATCAAGTGTTGACAGATCCTAATTTACCTATGCAGTCCAGGATCCATCCAACTGTCCCATCCCCTCCACAAGCCAAAATACGAAAGTCTGGGGCATCACGGAAAAAATTTAATCTAAGAAAAAATAGAGGGCAAAAAAACAAAGTAGTTTAGAAATGGTTGATTCTTGTACAATAAGAAAAATGCCACAGTCTCCCACAACCTTTCAAGTGCATTCTGGAATTTATAATCTGAAATATATGGAGAATATAAGACTGGGAAGGTCTGACTTAGATGGTTACTTTTCAAATTCTACAATAATATACAGAAGTGAACATATAGAAAAGCATGTTAGTTGTGTTGTTCTTCAGGATTAAAATATAAGGTGATATTTTGCTATTCTCAAGTGAATAGATGAACGATGAATGATTAAGTGCAATCTATTTGACAAAGAAATCATGCAATCTAGAGTCCAAACTACACTTCATGGAGATATGTTTTCTATCTATTTGTGCTCAAAAAAAATTCTTAGTGTCTATGTAAACTTTAGATATAATTCCACTAATTGTCAAGCTATGAAGATCACTTGCATTAGAACTGCTATGCTGCTGATGCCCTATCCTGCATGCCTCAGTACAAGAGCACCTGGGAGGAGGTTGTAAGTTCCATCGTTCCCACCAAACAACCCAGCGGCAAGAGAAGAGGAGTAGCTCACCCCACATTGATCTGTTTGCTGAAGCAGGAGCTACCAACTGACATGTGGTTTGGAACTCACCAAAAAGAACTGACATGAGGGATGGATTAGCATGGAAGGGAGTCAAGCTGTATGCAAGTCCTGCAGCGCAGCCATGACACTGAGCAGGCTGGCCATTTTGGGTTCCTAAAGACTCTGCATCTCTCTAACTGTCAGTTCTGGTGGCCAAAAATGAAGAAGTACATTGAGAATTATGTGAGGAGCTGTGCTATTTGAGCAGCCAATAAACAACTGCCAGGGTGAAGCCCAGGACTGTTGCAGCTGGGGGCTGACCCAGTTAGACTCTGGGAGGAGATAGCTATGGTGGAGTTGCCGGAGAGTGGGGGAAGCACCATGATTTGGACTGTAACAGACCTCTTTTTCAAGCAGGCCCACTCCATCACATGCTCTGGACTCCCCTCAGCTCAGAAACTGGGGCGTTCCTTGTAGGAGACAAAATATATCTATCCACTAAGTATCTCAAGTTGAAACAAACTTGCAAGAAACTAGGTCCAAAATACATAGGTCCTTTCCCTTTCATGAAAATTATAAACCCGGTGAGAGTAGAGCTCAAGTTGTCTAGGATACTGGGGAGAGTGCATCCGTAATTCCACTGTAGCCTACTGAAGCAATTTCAAGAGTCTACTATGAGGTCAGTGGGAAAAGCAGCCCCGGCGCCCGTAATGGTGGGAAGAGAAACACATTATGAAGTCAAATGGATTCTGGACTTCAGAATTCACAGAGGGAGGTGGCAGTATCTAATACAAAGGGAGGGCTATCCGATGTCAGGAGCTAGATGGGTAAAAGCTCACAACGTAAGATCAGATCGCTTAGTGAAGTGATTCTACACTAAATACCCCTGGAAGGCAAGACAAAGTTAACAAATAATAATGTATATTCATTTTGTTTTCCATGTTTCCCCAACTCTGTAGAGGGCCAGCCCGTCAAGCTATGAAGATCCCTTGCATTAGAACTGCCATGCTGTTTCTAGCTTGCCTACAGTCTGGGGGGATGGGGGAGAAGGTTTGGAGTGCACAGGTGGTTGCTATCAGTGTGAGAGTCAAGGTGATCAAAGAGATGTTTTGGCGAATAAAGGTTTTCTTCTCATAATAAATGTTTGAAGACTAATTGGACAATGTGACCTGAACTGTTAGAGAGGTGAGGGAAGGTTTTACTCTTTTAATTAACTTTTTCCTGCAATATTGTCAGAGCTGGTATTCTTTCTACCATACCGGTATGCTATGTCTAATAAAGCTTTACATTAGAGATTGCAATGTCTCTGGTGGATTTACTTTGTTGAGCTTTTCAACCAGAACCATGACACTAATAGCAATGCAGTAAATAACCTCAGCTGCAAATAACATTTGCTGCATTGATCCTTTGTATTGCAATGAAACCTCCACATATATTCTTTCATGAATTGATAGGGACCCAGTTGACTCAACAACACAAATATAGCAAATATAATACAATACAGCAGATACATACTTTAAAAGGCCAACAGTCAGATGAGATTCTCAATCTAAGGCATATTTGTGTAGGGAAGGAGGAGGAAGTAAGGGAAATTGAACTGAGGAAAGACAGCAAAGAGGAAAAAGAAGTGAAGTGATAAGAATAGATCAGAGACAACATAAAGAAAGCAAGTAATAGTAAGAAGGAGGACCAAAGATTTCTAAATATGACAAACAAACAAACATGTAAAATAGGCCACATTTTGAACTTCAATACCCAGGATTAGGTCCTCCACGATCCAGGTTATAAACTTGTCTGGGATTGAGTATGTAATGGAATTTCCTATGTACCCTAAAAGTAAGAAAAAAAAAAGAGTCAACAGCTATAAAAAGGAGAGTCAAGGCAAATTATTATTTTTATTCTCGATCAGCTTTCTTCACTCTCTCTGCTTTTTTTAGCACCTAAAGCGTTGCTAGGGGAGAACCAGTTTGATCTAGTGCAGGGATCCCCAACCCTCGGTCTGTGGACCAGCAACCGGTCTGCCCAAACAAACAAAGCCCCATCCACCGGATGGAGGCAGCACACAAAACCACGCATCCTCTGGTCTGTGAAAAAACCTCCATAGAACCGGTCCCTGGGACCTCTGATCTAGTGGTTAAGGCACCAGGCTAGAAAGAGGGAAACTGAGTTCAAGCTCAAGTCCCACCTTAGCCCTGAAAGTCGGCTGGGTGACTTTGGCCCAGTCACTTGCTTTAAGTCCAACTCACCTCAAAGGATGTTGTTATGGGGAAAATAAGAGGAGGAAGGTGTTGGATATGTTTACCACCTTGAGTTATTTGCAAAAATAATAAAGATAAGATATAAATAAATAAGTTGCAAATGCTATTTGCCAAGAGCAGAAGTGGAAGTAAGCAAGAACATGAGAGAAAATGACTATATAATAGAGGCATTCTTGATTTTAATGGAAACTGAAATGAATTTTAATAAATTCAACCAATGAAAAGTAGGATTCTGTGGCAGAAAACACGAAAGACAAAATTATTCAAAGATTGGATTGGAATTCTTAAAACAATAGTAACTAAAAACAGGATTCCCTCCCCTACCCCCCCCCCAAAAAAAAAATTAAAAGGAAAAAAAGTGGAACACGGCAAAAGAAGCCTACTTGGCTGTAGAAACAAAAAACAATCTTTAGGGAAAATCTGTAAATAAAAGAATAATGTAAAAGAAAAAGGGGGGACAGTCACTAAGGAAGAATACATGCCAGTAAGTCTGATTTATAGAAATGGTACCAACAAAGCTATGAACAGAATTCATTGAGGTTAGGAAAGGAGGTTATGAAGTCATAGAAGAGGGACTTGAGAAAAGATGAAATGAGGCAATGGGGAAAGCATGATAATGCTTTTAAATTTACAGAAAAAAAATGAAGATTTGTTTTCTGGCAATGTATTCAACAGGAAAACATAGTCTTTAATTATATGAAAGTAGATTCCACTTGAGTGTTAGGAAAAGGTTTGTAACAAGAAGGGCAGATTGTCAATGGAATCAATTAGCAAGGAAGATACTATGCTCCCCTTTACTGGATTTGTTCAAGTAGTGGCTTGGTGGCCACCTATTTTGGATACTTCCATTTTCTTTGGAGCAGGAAATTGTACTTAATGGATCCTTCCAGTTTTACAATTCTGTAGTTCCAAGTGATGTTGAACTACAACTTCCAATAATCTCAGCCAGCATGATCAACCATTTAGACAACTATCAATTCTTTACCAACATTCTACACTGACTGACAGCAAGTCTACAGAGTTCCACTCTGGAGTTTTGTCTTACCATTATCTGAAAATGAAAATTATTTAACTTGGACCCTTCTGCATTCAAAATTGATATTCTGGTGCTAAGCTATAGCAGTTTCCTGCTTTAGGACATTCACAGAAGCTTATAGCACTTAGCAATAGCACTTAGACTTGTATACCACCCCATAGTGCTTTAGAGCACTCTATGGGAGATTTACAATATTAGTATATTGCCCCTAATAATCCGGGTCCTCCTTTTACCATCCTCTAAAAGCTGGAAGGCTCAATCAACCTTGAGCCCCGTCACGATCCAACTCCAGGCTGTGGGCAGTTTGCCTGCAATACTGCATTTGACCACTGAGCCACCATGTAAGAGCTTTTACATGTGTAAGAGTAATGATAAAAATACCTGGAATCACAACTACATTTTATAAGGAACATTATAATTTGAATATAAGGGAAAATCTGCTCTAAAACATTTGCTTGAGGAAGATTTATTTGTCTACAACAATTTATTGATGCACTTATTGTATCACAATATTAAATCTTGGAAATGTACAATTTTCCAAAAGAAGGGAGAAACATACCTTTCTCCTTGCCTTCCTCCACTCTTGGGGTTCACAAATACCAGCAATGGGTGTGTCCCTAGCATAGGCGTGATCTGAAAACCAAATATATATCAAACAAGCAGACTCCCTGCATAATATACAAACATTGTGCAGAAAGGAGAACTAAGTGATGTGGCAGAGTTATAGGTGAACCAAAACTAACTAACTAGAAAGATATTGGATAAATAGGATTTAGTGCCACAGAAAAACATTAGGATCCTCCAAACTGTGCTATTCTTTACACCTTTTCTGCATATTGTCTTGCTATACACTGGGCCAAATATTGTATATTGGACAAAGAATAATAAATGGATATCTTTACTTAGGAGGCTTGTGACCTCCTGTACCTTTTTGATACACATCAAGTGGCTGCATTCTTAAGGGCATGACAGATATTAACCTAATCAAACATTTGCAAGCACTGATTATATATAATTATAACCTTTTTGAAAGAGAAGTCATGCTAAATTCTAAATTACAGGAAATTCTATGGGGATGGATATACTGCTATTAACACATGCACAGTTTAACATAGCTATAATTCCTAGAATGGGGCAAGGGCTTCCATTAGGCAAATTGAGCATGTACCTCAAAAAACAGATGCTGGAAGATGTTAGGAAACAACAACAACAATATGACATGTAGTTTTCCTTCTGTCCCTTAACCAGTGTTTCTCAATCTCAGCAACTTTAAGATACGTGGTCTTCAAATCCCAGAACTCCCCAGTCATGCTTGATGGGGAATTCTAAGAACTGAAGTTCACTCATCTTAAGAACGCTAAGGTTGAGAAACATGAATGTAAACTGCCTTCAGGAAAGCAAAAAATACTGTCCCAATGTTAATACAAAGAAAAATGCAACTTCCAGTTTATTTAATTTTGTATATGGAAATGGAGAAGGGAATGATGGCTTGTTATTATTTTTCTGGCCATAAAAAGTTTTAGGACTATCTAGTTTCAGAGTGGTTTATAAGCTGCCTAAAGGACTAATATATCGACACTGTATTCCACTATATCTTTCTCCAAAGTGGCCCACTATTTTTCACAATGATGAAAGTGCTTCTCCATGGGTACATACAACTATACATGTACAAGGGAGAAAAGATGCTATCAGCTACCCACCTGCAATCCATGTCCATCCACTGTAGTAGTATTGTATCTGAAGATCATGTTTGTATCCTCGGGGGTGGTGCTGGATGGTGATTCACTCTCTGATCTTCGTGAGTGGGATTGCCTATCCTTTTGAAGAATCAAAGATGCATAGGACATTTAAAAATAGATAGCAAAGAAGTACTAATGACATAAACAGAGAGGAGATTATGGAATTCTAAGTATAAAAATATATAATAAGACCACAAAAGACTAAGGATATTGTATAACACATGGATACTAAAATACTGCCTAACAAACGGTGCAAAACCTATCATTTGGTAAAGGACATGCATTTTATAAATTCCAAATGATCTTGGATAACCTAGCAATTTTGTTACAAATTATAATTAAGTTCTGAAAATATCACCCAAAAGTAGCTTCTGCCTACCAATAGCCACAAAATTCCCACAAACAACATTTAATTGAGGCATAATGCCTCTGATCTTGGAGAAGGCATAAAACCATCATGATTAGTAACTATGGAAAGACTTCCATTGAATTATCTAATCTTATTATCCATTTTCTCTGTAGAATCATTCTGTATATCATGGTCCCTTTTACTGGCCTTTTCTCTAATATTTCCAAATTAAGAGAATTGCTTCAGCCCTTCATTCATTTTGATTTTTTTTAACATTCATGTGACTTTCTTTCACTAATGTACAGTTAGTGGGCCATGGTTAGTCTTACTATACACCTATATACCCTCTGCTTCAGAGGAAGCAGTCCTCTGTTATATAACATACATAAATGTTCCATATTGGTTTATATATTTACAGTTTCTCCTCATAAGGAGGGACTCTTTGTAAAACATATTATTTAATGTATTCTGCATGGTTTGATACATGCAACAGTTTGTCCATTTTTTATATTTAAATTCTGATATATGTTATTTGACATGTAATAATTTTTATTTAATGCATTTAAGAATTTTGTTCATTAGTCATAGTCAGATACATTAGACAGACAGAAAACTCTAAGTCAAAAATCCAGAAACCTCCCTGCATTGCATAATGACATGATTGCATAATAATTAAATTTGGGCCTTGAAAGTAGACAAAAACAAGCTTTAACATAGATTTATTCCATTTAAAAATCAAAGAAGATTAATCCATAACATCTTCCCTCCCCACTGCCAGTCCTATTTGTGACATCCACGTACTGTATGCCCTGGGAACCATCAGTGTAGTTATTATGAGAACCTTAGTGCACTTTTCCCAGCTTGAGACCACAGTGGACAAAATTGTGGGGAACTATGGTCCAATACAGAGGGTATTACAAGGGAATACCAGGTTTGTAATGGTATAGGAATCTAATTAACCAAATCAGTTTGGATAAAGCCATTTGGATCATGAGAATATATTATCCAATTGCCTTAAGTGAGACAGAACCAATAAGAAAATATCATTCATAAAACCAGTTTGATATGTGCCAAGCAGACTCATTTACCAGAACAACTGGGCAGATCTGGGAAGGCAGCAAGATGTGGTCTTTGAGATGCCCACCATCACACTCAGGTTTCATGTGTGAGGCACATTTGTTGTGAAGCTTTAAAAAGAGAGAAAACAGCATGTACCAATGTTTACTTTCCTGTTTCCATCCATATCCATCTGATCCTCTAAATTTTTCCTTTACTTATGATCAAGAAATCAGATTAGCAAAGCATCTGATGTTTCTTTGATAAGATGGCTTTTAGTCTCCAGCTCTGCAGAAAAGCCATTGTTTTCTATTGGGAGAATTAAATCCTTAAGGAGAAAATATTACGAGAAAATAATGCTTCTTTTTGTACCAAAATGGAGAGGGGAAAATATGCCAATGATAGAGTTATATATCTCTAGCCCTGACTTGGCAGGTATTATGGTGTTGACCAAATGTCTGGAAGCTGTGTTGCTCCAGATGGGGAAAAACTCATGGCCCAAACCTGGCAAAATGGAGAGGTTTTATGTTCTTGGTTCCTTCGGGGTCTGCTGGTTTATCATCATTGACTCTGGAAAGGGTCACACTTCCTCAGATGAGATTTTCCTGGAATCATGGTTCCAGCTCAGGAGGACATTTGCATGTTGTGCACCAACTGTGCCCTTTCCTGGACTGGAAGACCTTGCTCATGGTCAATGCATTTTACATGGGCTGGCCTTTAAGATCACTTGGAAACTACAACTGTCCAGCAATGTACCCTCCTCTATCACATTAAAAATTACAATTTGCTGCTAACGTTTAAGAGAAGCTTTGGAGGTAATGTTCAGGGATTGGGGGTATATATAGCCTATATGCCTCAGGTTATGCTTTTCTGTGGTAAATAGCTTGTAACTCTGTGAAATTGTTGCTGTTTCTTCAAATAACTGCTCTGAGTTCTTTGGAAAAGGAGACGAGCTTAAATTAAAACATTAATAAAATCAGTAAATCATGTTTTTAAACAGCTGTGTTCTTCTTACTTTAATATCTGCAGGTCTGGCAAACTGTTGTACCTGTCACTGCACTTAAGAGGCATGTAGTACCATTCACCACCCATAACAATAACAATGAAATGTCACCAAATATAAAAAGTAATACATCCTATGAGCTTTATTTTTGTGCCACAAAGGTGCTTACAATAGTTCACAATAGTTGCAAAGTGGATAATATATCATTGTTATCATCCAATCCTGGATGTATTCCTTGAGAAAGCCAAATTTGAAGCCTTTTAAAAATACATTTTGGATCTTCCTTTTCACAAAGACTTACTTCATGTATGTCAGAATCAGGGTTATAAAAGAGGTGATGGATAGTGGCATGAATTGCTGAACTACAATATTTTTAGCATTTACAGTTTCTCCATAATTTACTGGATGATGGCTAATTTTGGGATTAGGAGGGGAAACTAGTAAGGGAAGATGAATCTTTATTTCTTACAACATGCCACAAAAATTATTAACTTAAATGTGTAAAAAATCTCTCTTGACTAAAATAGATTTCCATAATCTTTGATTAAAAATAAAAAGACAACATTCTTTTCACGTACTCACTGTGATTTGGCACCATACACAATGTAGTCCGGTAATTCCCTGGTAGCATTTGATGCTTTTATGACACCGATCACACTTGGCTGGGGAATTGCCCTCAATCCATGTATGCTGCATAACCTAGAAATGCAAAATTGTTCAAATAGCTTGGTAGAAAGGGAGGATAGTACAAATTTAGGTAAGTTCCTAGTCCCCATCTTCAGTTTAGGGAATAGTTTTCTCTGATTATTGGGTATTTCTACACATTTATATTAGAGTCCTGGTTATATAGTGGTTAGAATGCAGTATTACAGACAAACTCTGCCCATAGCCTGGAGTTCGATCCTGATAGGACTCAAGGTTGATTCAGCCTTCCATCCTTCAGAGGTCAGTAAAATGAGAATCCAGATTGTTGGGAAAATATGTTGTCATTGTAAATAGCCCAGAGGGCTATGGAGCTGTATATAAGCCTAAATGCTTTTGATATATCTATACATTTATGAAAACATAAATGATTGTAGGCAAATAGCTTAACTATCAGCCTTACTAGGTAGACCAGACAGGAAACATGACCAGATAAACTAATTTTACTTTACTGTAAAGCTATGTTAATAGAATTTTGCAAGAGTGAAAATACAGTTCTCCTGATATCGTCTTTGGAGCCTGAGAACTTATGGAGAGACTCTTCTGAGCCTCATGCTCTGCTCAGTCTTTCCCACTCACCATTACATTATAACTTATAATGTGCATACCTTTGAAAGCAACTCTTAAGCAGTATTGCATACCCATATGCATACATTGTAAACAATTGCGTCTCTCTGAAGCCTCAGTGTTTGATTCAAAACCCAAGTTTCAATTTGGCTCCTGTACTAACTGCAACTTGACTTTTTTTTTGGTTTGCAACAGAGAGCATACTGTTTGAATCTTAACACAGTTACAATTTCAGCACAGTTTTCACTTCTCTAGTAGGTACTTATTAGTACTGTTGGTATATTATTTATCTAGTGTGCCTATTAATACTATTGAAGTAGTTAATTGAGTTTGGCTGATACTGTAAATGATGTAATTGATAGAGAATAATGCTATAATTTAGATTTCAATTTTGAAAACAAAGAAATTTCTTGCAAGGGATTCACCCTGTGCTGTTTTACTGCTAGGCAAAGTTTACCAAAGATGAGAAGATCTGAAGGCAGTATTTTTGTGGACCTACTTTATATTAAATGCATATACTGATTTTCACTAAATACAACAGAGTCAAAAGGAACACTTATCACTTTGCAAACAAAAATTAACCCCAAGTTTATCTGCAAATCGTTCCCCAAATATAAAGTCCTTTGATATATTATATCAAAATCACAGCAGTGAATTGGCCTCTTTTACTAAAATAGCGTTACTATGACACTATGGACTGCATGTTCTGCATACAGATGGCTTAGAATTCATAGCAGATGATTAATTAGTGGACACATAACACTGATCTTCCACATATGCCTCACTTACATTTGTATTTCTCTTGGATTTTACATAAGTACTGATGCAAGGAGCAATATCTTTGGACACACATCTTTCATGGACAGTATATTTACAAACTGTAGAAAGGAAAGAAAAAAGAGAGAGCCATTCTAAATTGCTGCATTGAAGGCAATTTCCAGCTACTTCTAGAATTTGGCTGTTAGAATATATTATTCCATGTATGCAATTGTATACACAATTCTTGAAAAAAATCCTAAATGAGTAAACTGTTGTCATAATCCATGATAGTAGATTCACCATTCACTATTGAGATGGTATTGATCACACTTGTGGATAATGTCTGGCTGGCTAGGGACAGAGGTGGTGCATTTGTCCTAACCCTCCTTACACTTTCAGCAAGTTTTAATACCATCACTTATGATATTGTTCTGAACTGACTTAGGGGTCTGGAAACAATACTGTGGTGGTTCTCCTTCCTTTTTCAAGTGCAATTACAGAGGGAGAAATTGAGGCCTAAACTTTTTTGTTGTGGGTTGCCTCAAGATGTGTGACTCTTTTACCCCTCATGATTAACATCTATCTGGTGTTGTGTGAGGTCATTTCTCAGCATGGGGTTTACAATCAACATGTTTATATGTTATCTTCTGAACCTCAGTTTTCCATAAGTTAAAATTTGAAAGTAATATATTAACAGTTGCCATTTTTATTCATTTACTGTAAATTATGTTCTATTGAATCCAGTGAAACTTCTCATTAGCCATCTATCCTACCTTAATATTTTAAACTCTTGTCCTAAGGTTGGCCTCCAAGCTTTCTTTAGATATCAACTGAGGACATGCCTCTTTCACCTAGGCTTTTGCAAAATAATCTATTTCAGTAAAATACTGTTGTTTGATTGTCTCTTATAATATTTTTCTTTTTTAAAATGAACTTTTTTTAGTCTTTGGGACTGTTCAGTACTATGGACACAATAGTAATGAATTTCTTCAATGCAAAAGAACAGCTGTGGCAATAGGAAGCTGTTAAAGCGCATAATGTTCAGCTTTTTAAGTAGATCCATCCAAATTCTAGAAAAGTATTCTCTCTCGAGTTGTTACTTTAGTTGTCTTGAAAGTGGATTATCTGGTATCTGGTTCTATAATACAAATGGCATATAATTGGAAAAATCTCAAGCTTCCCTTGAGAAAGGAACCTGCTGGAAATATTGAAGCCTAACTATCTTTGTTTTAAGATTAAACAGAAACTAAATCAATAAACCCTTTCCCCATCTTTTGGGGAGATTTTGACATGACTCTTTCCAACTGATATGCAGGTAACCTCACTAGCCATGATTACGGTGCATCTGTAGAGACTTACAGGAACAGCACAAGCCTTGCTTCCTAACTCCCAGTAACATAGTGCGGCAAAAGTTGCAGTAGGCAGGCTTCTTGAAATGTTTCAGCCTCCAAGCATGTTGGCCATCATCCTTTATATTCTGTAGGGATTTTTTTTTTTAAAAAAAGTTCACTTAGCAGAGAAGAATCAGTATGATGGATATCCAATAACCCACCAATGACCCAGTCACCAAAATATGAATTTTGCACAATTACCTCTTTGCACAATCAATATTATCTCTTCATAATGTGAACTAATAATGTCAGAACTACAGAACTATAGAAAACATTCATCAGCTTTTCTCATACAAACACTCTTGAACTTAATTGGCATGTCAATGATCTGTAAATAATTATCTGAATTAACCTATGTTATAGTCTTGCTAGCTTCTCTTTATTTTTTGAAAAGCAGCCACAGAATTTTTTAAAATTAAACTTTTACTACCATGCAAGAAAATAATCTAAGACTCATGATAAATAATAACCTAGAGAATACTTTAACCTGTCTTGACTTGATCTTCTCTTGATATGTTACAGTACATTTATATCATCTCCAAACAATAACTATTTTGATTGGATATTCAGTCTGATTATCGTGGGTAAGTCAATCAAAACAGCCATAGTCCAAAGTTTTTGTCTATCATTTTGGGGAAATTGATCTACATTTTTGTAATATCATGTAGTCAAAAGACAAAGATTGAATATCCTAATGGATTATAACTTGGATTTCTAAAAATGTAAATATGTTGTTTTTCTCAGCAATTAGTATAGAATGATATAATTATAATTATCTTTAATGGATGATAGACTTTCTTTTTGGGGGGAGAGGGTGTTACCAGCATTTATGGTAGATATAAAACATGGATGGGTGTCCTATCAATAGTAGCACCTCTATTTTATTTATTTATTTAATGCATGGTATCTATCGAGGCCATGCAGTCACTAATATATAGATTTAGTTTAAATAAAGCATCAGCAAATGTGTGTGTGTGTGTGTGTGTGTGTGTGTGTGTGTGTGTACAATATAATATAGGAGTTAAAATATTAAATTCAAATAAAACCATAACAAAATCACCATAATATGGAGCCATAGAATTGCAATGGGATAGATGTTATAATTCGATATCTAAGGAAGCTAACCATCTAACTGCTTCTGGTGTGGCTGGAATGAGATTGCCCCATTCTTGAACTATATGTGTTATAGTTTTATAATTATAAAATTAGGCGGAATCCATTAATTCCAATCAAACAGACAAGTATTGGGGACTGCAGACATTGAATCAGGTCAGTTGCTTCCAAAGGAACAAATGGCCTCTTATCATGTGGCCAGGTAAAATAGGAAGTGACATGCTACCAAAATGTTGAAATAAAAGAAAAAAGCAACCATCCAGCCTATCCTGAATAGAAAATTTATAAAACACAGAATTCACAATTTTTAAATGGACAGAACTTTATACAAGAATATTACCCCAGGTTTGCTACTGTATAACAAAATATGCTGCTTATCTTCTAAGAAGTAATGTAGTGGATCAGAAAAAAAGGCCTTCCATAGTCTAAGATTATTATCCTACAATAGTCAATAAATCTTATGGAAATCTCACAAAGAACACATTAACATCCTCCTACTCATGTTCCTCAGGAACTGACATTCAGAGGCATATTGCCTTTGGTTGTATATAGCTGTAATTACAAGCTAGATGATATAGATGATGACTAATACCCTCCTTTTTAAGAAGTTGTAGAATTATAATTAGAAACTATATTTTCCTATATATATATATTTCAGTCTGTCCTATTGTATTGCTCAAGAAATCAAGAACATCAAATAATCTCTCAAAATCCATCAAATGACCACAATACCGTCTAAAGGTAGGATTCTTAAATCATAAGGTTATAGAACTGAAACTGAGCAAATAGCTCCTACTGTTGATGTACCAGACAATGTTTATACCAGGAATTCAAAAGGTTGCTTGTATTGTATGTCAAAAGAATCCAGGCAGATGGAGGGGAAAATGGATACCAGTTCCATAGCACCATAACTTAACAATACACAATTAATTAGTACATTATTAGATTTAATTTGAACCTCATTAAATTTATTTATATTGGGTTCCTTCACTTTTTAGAAGCTTTGGATAACTGTTGACACAATCCTTGAAAACTGTGTAGACAGTCAAGATGTTCTTAGTGTCTATGACTAAAAAGGAAGCTGAGAATCTGGATTTTGAAATACTTGTACTCTCAGAGGTCAGAGACTTAAAAGAGTCTAAGAGGCTGTGTATATTCAAGTGAATGTTCATTTGAAGCTCCTCTGCTTTACACTGGCACCACACATCTTGTGCTTTATCTCTTAGAGAGAGATGTATCTTTCTCCCAAACATGCATATTATCTGTTGTATATGTTATTTTTTTCTGCCCATGAAAGTAAAAGTTAGGTAAATAAATAACTGCCTTACAATGTACAACATTTCTTAAATCCTCTCCTTATATTCCATGAAACAATGCAAATGTTAATAAAAATAATTACATATAATGGCAAACTAAAATTAGATTATTGGTGAAAGTTATCATACTTACTTTACTTTCTGGTAAGCAGATTCTGGTTGATTATATCTAATTTCCTTCAGAAGGTGTACAGCACCTTTTCTCAACTTAATTCCCATAATTGCTTCCAGGGTACAGTTTAAAGTATTGGTGCTAATTTTTAAAATTACAAACAGCTTGAAATCTGATTATCTGAGAGATTTTTTTTCCTATTACAAATCTTTCTAGATGTGTAGTTCTACATAAGACGCCCTTCAGAAGAGGACTTGTTTTTAAAGGCTCATTCATTCAGTATGCAGAAGAAGACCTTCAGTCGCATGATTTCCAGTTGTGGAATGTCCTCCTTTGGGATTCTATTAGACTCACACTCTTAAATTAATTTTTATTAAATATGCTTTTCCATAGAGTAAAAAAAAGATAAAAGTAATAGAAAAGTGAAAAAATATAGAAAAAGAAGTAGAAAAGAAGATGATATGAAGAAAAAATGGCTTCCGGTCTTCTTAACAATAGTTATGCACCCATTTTTTTCTTGGAAAAAGAGCAGCTGAATCCATATCTTTTGTCAGGCTTTTTTTAAACTGTTAAATAATATTTAGTTTGGTTTTAATTTATGGTTTAAATTTAATTTCTATTTTACATTCTGCATTTTAATTATTGTTAAGTCACATTGCATAATGTGTAGAAAGAAAGGTTATGCAACAAATAAGAACTCTCTCCTATCCTAGGTAAAATATTGTTACTCTAAAAACACACCATGTTGGGAAAGTTTGGCTTATTGTTGTGAGATCAGGCCTGTTACTCACTGTTTCCATGCCTAGGAGAACGAGCAGAGGGATGGTAGTCATACCACCCCGAATCCATTCTTCAAGTGTCACAGTTCCATCATGATCATAGTCTATTTCTTCCATCATCTCTTTCAAAATCTGCAGAAGACAAAATCCAGGTATGTGCATCCTATTTTTTTTCACTTGCAATTATTTTTATGATAGGAAATGTTCTGTAGGCTTTGAACACTAGCACGGAAAACAAAACTGATTGCAATATTAAGTTAAAGAATCAGGAGCACCAGTGTTTGCATTGTGAATCACAAAGTCTAGGAGCTAGACTTAGCAGTGGAGACAACAACTAGGCAATTTCAGCCTGAATATAATCAGCAGATCTCACAGACTGAGTGCTGTCAGTTGATTCTATTAGCTGACTGAGACATAAAGGTGTCATACGATATTTCCATCCAAGTCAGGTTGTCAATCTGAAGGTTTCATCACATTGCCTTGACTTCTTCAACTTACCCTTGTTTTTTTGCTTCTTTAGCTTTTTTAAAATCCATGTTTGTTTGCAGCAGGCTTGGATCTGATAATCAGTCCCAAGAGTAATTTAGAGTTCTACGGAATTCTAGTTTTATAGTCAGGTTTTGTTTGTTTGTTTGGTTTGCAGTTCTTCATTACACTTTTTCCAAGTCAGATTTTCTTAAGCCTGCAACTTCTCTTCCTGTGAAACCATAATTATCCTTATTCCTTAAAAGGTGTTTTAAGGAAAAAAAACATAATCTGTGGGTGGTGGGTAGCTTAGAAATGCTGTAAAATAAATTCAAAAATAATCTTTTTTTTAACTAGTCTTTTTGAGACTGGATTATTACAATATATTTGACAGGCTCAAACTGGCTATTTAGAATTAATGGATGACTCAAGGAATCATTAAAAAGAACAATAACAAATGTTGTGGCATATTAAAGACTAATTGTAGCTTACATTTTTAAGGACAATAGTTAATTTTAAGATGCCACAAGATTCTGTTTTGGCTGCAACAGACTAAGATAGTAATCCTTCTGGAAATTAAAACAGGGATCATCTTTGTATTTATAGTTCAATCTCAGTAATTCAGGACCAATGTGCATAATGATTAAATATAAATAGTATGTAGATACTTTTCTAAATTTTTTTAACTGCTTGTCAGAGCAATCCTGACTGGGCCATGGAGAAGAGATGTTTTACACCATCTTTCCATTTCCCATACAAAAATGCCAGTATTCCACTGGGGGAATTACCCAAAGAAAATGAAAAAAAATGTCCACATGGGACAGGGCAGATGTTGCTAAACATGTTTCTAGGAGGAAGGTTTAACCCAGTGATGGCAAACCTTTTAGAGACCGAGTGCCCAAACTGCAACCCAAAACCCACTTATGCATCATCGGGTGACAGGTGGGTGTGGCTTCAGTGGTAACAGCAGACTGGGTGGGACTAAAAAGTTCAATCACGGCAGTGGAGGCCTAAAGTGAAAAGGTTTTATAAAACCCAGCTGAAGGACTAGGACTGGGGTGATGGTGCGCGTACCCACAGAGAGGGCTCTGAGTGCCACCTCTGGCACCCGTGCCATAGGTTTGCCACCACTGGTGTAACCTTTTGCATATGGTAATCTTAATTAGTAGTGATCCATTGCTATGTTTACTTTGCTGTAAAAAGGAAGAACAAAGGTAGTTATACACTATTTATTGAATATTGTGTATGACTTAGCTCTCAGAGGGGAAAAAATGATACTCAAAAGCAGAACAAAGCACTTTTTAAAAGTAAATTCCGATTCTACATGGAAAAATAACTTACTGGCCTTAATTCTGTAGAGTCCCATTCCAGATATTCTGCTACATGTACCATTTGATTGATAATACGATCCAGCTCCTGAATTTAGAAACAAGATGGAAGAAGGTAAATGTTTTTAAGACAATGTGAATGATATACTATATGGATATTGCAGTTATATATATTAGCATGCAAGAAAAAAATAGGTAAATATCTTTATGAAGGTGAGCCACCTCTTTAAAACAATTATGTCAGATTACTTTTTTATTTTTAAGAATAAACACTTGAAAGAGTTTGTAAACCCATATCATTGCCTTCCATTTAAATTTTCCACAAGGTAATTGAATTACACTACATCAAGATTGTTTTGGAAATTTTAAACAGGCAGACCCAAGTTTTGATGCTGCTATTAATCAGCTAACTTTACCAGATCCTGCCAACTTTGAAAAAGACCTGTATAATCCTCTTTATGAAGAATCCCTCAACTATGAATGATCTTGTTTCCATGCTGTAGCTTAACTGGAGACCAGAGAGAGCCAGATTTCATTGATGTATCCCTCGACCTATGTACTTTGTAGTGGCATCACAGTAGGAAAGCCCCAATGCATTTGGGGAAAAGTGTAGCTTCTTATCCTTTTAAAGAAAAGGACTAGTTTGAAGGATAGCTTACCGAGCTGTCCAGGAAGCCATTGCCATCTGTATCATAGAGGCGAAACATAACTGCAAGAAAACACAAATGTGCAAAGATATGCAATAAATGTATGTTCCCATCACAAAAGGGCTAATCAGTCAGGTTTTACAGTCTACCACTGCCTTAATTTCAAAGTTTGAGCTGACCACATTGAAGTCTCTGTCTTCAGTTAACCCTTTGTATTTGATAATTCACATCAAAATAAATGCATAACCATAAAAAAGAGAAGGAATTCAAAAGAGGGCAAGTAAACATTAGCTGAGCTCTGAAAAAGAGGAGTGAGAAGGAAACTCAAGATTACCCCATAGTTATTTTCTTTGGTGTAACAAAGAGCAGAGGGAAACTTTGACAGGCTTCCAAGATTCTGTTACTGGAGATAGTCCTTGACTTACAACCATTTGTTTAGTAACTGTCTGAAATTACAACAGTGCTGAATGAATAGTGGTTACAATCAGTTCTAAGAATTCTGGCTGCCACACCACCTTTCCAGTGACATAATCATATGCTAGAAACTTTGCAATCGGCTTGTGCTTAGGAGCAGCTGATTGAGCCCGTGATCAAGTGATTGCCTTTTGTCACCTTTCCTGTGGCTTCCCTAGAAGATCAATGAGAAAGTCAGCAAACGTCACAATTCTCTGGGGTAAGTTTCTCCCACCTGCTCAGACTGTGCCAGCCACTTATACACTTTCCTCAAGCTTTGCACTCTCATGCATCCTCTGTTATCATGCTTCCCTTGCAACTTCATGCATCCTTGTGCGCACATTCATACTTTCCCTGTTCTTTGCCACACCTCCCTCATACACACTCAACCTTTCCTATGTCTTTGTATCCTAATGCACTCCTGCATTCCTTTGCACATCCTTCCTGAGCTTCACTGCACCTTCATCACATCTTTTCCACAACCCTCGCATCTTTGTACACACCCTTGCACCTCTCCCAATCCTTGCTGTACTTCCTTTGCACCCTTGTACACCCTCCCTTATCCTTACATCTCTTTTGCACCCTCATATATCCTCTCCAAATCTCACCACCCCTTATTCACACACTCTCCCTGACCCTTACTGCACGTCCTTGCACCCTTGTTCATCCTGCACACTGTCCCTGGATTTTGCCATTCTTCCCTTGAACTTTTGTACATCCTCTGCACTCTCCTCCACCTAGCAGCAGCCACTTACCTGTATGCCAACCTGCTTGCAAGCTACCTGGAACTTGTAATTTCCTGCTGGCTTTCCCACTGACTTATTTGTGGGAAGCCAGCAGGAAGCTGCCTATTGTAATAACTCTGAGGCTTGGTTAATGATGGCAAAGAGGACTGCAGGGATTGCTGTGCTAAGTGATGCAGTCTTGCTTTATAACTGCATTGCTTAGCGGCAAAGATTCTGGTCCCAATTGCCATTGTAAGTCGAGGACTACCCTAGCAGCAAAATGTAAGAGGTTTCAAATGTCTTCTCTGAGATGCCCTTTAAATTTACATATCCTAGCCTGCCTTCTTGCTCTAATGTAACTGTTTGATCATTACTGCTGCCACCACACATTTTCCAGGGGGATTGCCTTTAGCTAATGTCCTCCCATTGAACCCAGAAGTGTGAAAGAAAGAGAGCATCACAGCTTATGTGCCTCATTGGTAAAGAGAAAGAGACAAAACATTAACAATTTAAATTAAAATTTAAAAATTAAACAAAATTTGGAGCACCAGTTCCCACTGTTGTACACTCTTTTGATATGAAAATTCAGCCTTCTTTGGGAGGGGACCCATCTTACAAAGTCGAAATTAAAATGAGCAATAGGTTTTTTTTTTCAGAAACATTTTATTTAACTTTAGGTAATCACATGTAAAATCATGGTGAGTAAAATAAAAAGTGCTGGTAAAACCAATCAGCACCTTAAACAAATCCTGCAAGGGTCTAGACTCCAAGGTAGGATCACTCTACCGCTCAGAGATTTTAAGAGGCATCAGGCATACATGGATAGCTTGCATTGATGGAGTAAACATCAGAGACAATAAATTAGATTTAATTTTAAAAAGAGAAATAAAAATTAATTGCAGGTAATTTAGCTAGCTAGACATTTTTACTTATTCTTCTTATGGTGATTAGTGACTAGAAAAGATTAATCTCTATTTCAATTATTTTGGGGTCTCTCCTCCAGATGATTCTGAGGATTCTAGCCAGTTTCTAAGGCTACTTTTTCCTGCCATAGTTCTCAACTTTTAGTTTCAAGATAAAAAATCTTTTCTGTCTAGTGGAAATAAGGGGTTTGGAGCTAAATCCTAACAACTGCACATGTGAGCCAGCACATGCATCTGCCACATTATGTGAATTAAAACCAGATGACTAAATTACTACTTAACAAGTCTGTCCAGCATGGAGCTGGCATTCTGGAATATTTTGGAGGCAATCTACATTTACAACAGCTATATTTCTACTTTCTGACTGAATAGAGGTCAGGAAATTAGTTTTTTGCAGTTGTAGTATACATGCATCTATATTCCTTAAGAATTAGTATGAATTGTATTCAATAAATCAGAGTTGTTTCCAGCCCCTCTTTTATGGCAGTTGGCAGTCTGGTAATGATTTCTGAAAAGGGGAGGGCTGTTTTTTTTTTGGTTTTCATTTTAAATTAAAAATAAATCAGGCCAGTTTCCCCCAATATGGTGTTGTTCCAGTATATGGGGCTTGAAGTACTATAATCAGCACTGAAGATGCTTAACAGCTGTTTTAATAGATATTTTATGTAAATAGAATACCCAAATCAGCAGGTCAAAAATACCAGTGAATTTATAATGTGAATGGCAATGTCTATTTCATCTTAAGGCGATGCATTTCCACAAAGAAGCAGATGGTATATTTGGCTACAATGTCTATGAAGCTCAGCTAGCTGGTTGGATATTATGTCATCCAATTCAACTCAAATTGAGGAAATGTGTTTTTTGCTGCAAAGACTATAATTTGAATCTTTATTGTTTCCAAAATTGTAGAGTAAGTCTTTGTGCAAAATTTATTGTCATCAATATTCTCTATATACGCATATTTAATTCCTTATAATCAGAGCTTTTTTTTTTGTCAAAGAACGCCCAGAATGGAGTTCCGGCACCTTTTTGGGATGGAACCTTGTAGGGTAGGCAAGGCGGGTTGTATGACGTGTGTGAGTTCCGGCACCTTTTTTTTTTTTTCAAAAAAAGCACTGCTTATAATTATATACTTAATTCATTTTTAAAATATGTAGCTGGTTTTTTAGAAGAAACTATCTTGAGAGTCACTCTTTACATTGGCTTCAGCCAAATCCTTCAAGATTAAGAATTTTCTTTGTTTGTACATAGTATTACATTTAAATAATAAATTCTTAATCTTTAATGTTAACTAACAAATAGCACTAGAGGGCAGCCTTTTACAATTTTCAGGAATGCTAATGGAGCTACACTATTTCTCAATGTATGGCGTTTATATTTTGCAAAAAGTAACATGTAGATAGCAATTTTCATTTTTCTCCTTTCTCTTCTACATATCTGACAATTCCGTTCATAAAATAAATGATATGTAACAACGGAACCTGGCAGGCCAATGGAGATGAATAACTTTGTCCTGGCATACACACTCATACGGTATAGAAAAGAAGAAACATTGTTCAACATCACTTCAAATAGGAAAAGCAATATCCTTGCTTATCAACATATCCAGTTACATAGAGTAATAGTAATAGTAATAGTAGTAAAGTTGGAAGGGACCTTGGAGGTCATCTAGTCCAACCCCCTGCTCGGGCAGGAAACCCTACACCATTTCGGACAAATGGCTGTCCAGTCTCTTCTTAAAAACTTCCAGTGTTGGAGCATTTACTGCTTCTGGAGGCAAGCTGTTCCACTGATTAATGGTTCTCACTGTCAGGAAGTTTCTCCTTAGTTCTAGGTTGCTTCTCTCCTTGATGAGTTTCCACCCGTTGCTTCTTGTCCTGCCTTCAGGTGCTTGGAAAATAGCTTAATTCCCTCTTCTTTATGGCAGCCCCTGAGATATTGGAATACTGCTATCATGTCCCCCCTTGTCCTTCTCTTCGTTAAACTAGACATACCCAATTCTCGCAACCGTTCCTTATATTTTTTAGCCTCCAGTCCCCTAATCATCTTTGTTGCTCTTCTCTGTACTCTTTCTAGAGTCTCAACATCTTTTTTACATCGTGGTGACCAAAACTGGATGCAGTATTCCAAGTGTGGCCTTACCAAGGCATTGAAGAGTGGTATTAATACTTCACGTGATCTTGCTTCTATCCCTCTGTTAATGCAGCCTAGCACTGTGTTGGCCTTTTTGGCAGCTGCAGCACACTGCTGCCTCATATTTAGGTGATTGCCTACTAGGACTCCGAGGTCCCTCTCACAGTTACTACTATTGAGCATGGTGCCACCTATGCTGTACTTGTGCATTTGGTTTTTCTTGCCTAAATGTAGAACCTTGCTTTTTTCACCATTGAATTTCATTTTGTTAGTTAGTGCCCAGTGTTCAAGTCTGTCCAGATCCTTCGGTATCTGAAGCCTGTCTTCTGGAGTGTTGGCTATTCCTGCCAGCTTGGTGTCGTCTGCAAATTTGATGAGTTCCCCATCTATCCCTTCATCCAAATCGTTGATGAAGATGTTGAAGAGTACTGGGCCCAGAACAGATCCCTGGGGCACCCCACTACACACTTCCCTCCATATAGATGCAGTTCCATTGAGGACCACTCGCTGAGTACGGCCGGTCAGCCAGCTACGGATCCATCTGGTGGTGGTTCTGTCTACCCCACATTTTTCTATCTTGTCAAGTAGTAGGTTGTGATCTACGTTATCAAATGCCTTACTGAAGTCCAAGTAAATTATGTCCACAGCATTCCTCTGATCCACTAATTTTGTCACTTGGTCAAAGAATGCAATAAGATTTGTCTGGCATGATCTATTTTTGACAAACCCATAGAGGCCAATCCACAGGCTAGGAATGTTTCATCCAATCTAAAGGGCAAGTCCAACATCACATTTTGACACCTGCTGTGATGTTTGAAGAGATTCTGCCGAACAATTCAACTTGAAATGTTACACTAGAATAGATCATAGATGATCCTGGGAGAATGATAGTTTTCCCCCTAAGTGATATCTCATAATTAATATGTTCTCTGTTGTATTAATAGAGATTGGCTTATAAACTAGCAGTTTTAAATGGCAAATGACTCAGAATTTAGCACAAAGGTGGAAGATGAAAAAAGGTTATAAACAGGCAACCACTCCTTCGTTGCATAGCTTTCTTATTGTGTCCACCTAGGGCTGCCAACTCCATTTGTATCTGGAAAGTCCCTTCTGCAATAAAAGGATTCACATAACACCATGCACACACACACACACACACACACAACACACGTACGCACACTTATATGTACAAGCATACAACTGATCACCAGTAGCCACTCCAAAATAAGGCTGGAAGTGGAATGAAGAGAAATGGAAAGGAAATACAGCAAATGAGGAAAACAAAACTGAGAGATACAATATGTGGAAAAAGATAATTGTAAAGAAAAGAGAAGCAAGACTGTTTAGGCATTACAAAAAGGTTGAAATTCATCAGATGAGCTGCCCTTCCAAATCACAGTCTAGGTTTATTTTTTAAATGGTTAATTCAAAAGGTATCAGATCTTCAACAATACTTCTGGGAGCATAATGACACACGAGATTAGGACCCTGGGCTGATGATTGGCAGGCTGGCATTTGAGACCTGGTTGTTGCTGCAGGATGGGGTGAGGTTTTGTCACATGCTCCAGCTCCTGCAGATCCAGTAGTTCAAAAGTGGGCAATCATGAGTAGATAAATGTGTACCATGTTGGCACCCAACTTAACAAGGATGTGAAAGGATCTCCCAACTGGGCCTCCCCCGGGCAATGGTGATGTCACCATTCAATCCTTTCAATCTGGAAGTGCTTCAGCACTCCCGACACAACTGCAGTAGTAGCTATGTTTGTAGCTATTTGAACCCGTATTTTCTACCATTCCACTTCCCAACTCACAGCTACTTATTTGAGGAAAAAACTCTACCTTCTAGGACAGTAATGGCCAACCTTTTAGAGACCGAGTGCCGAAACTGCAACCCAAAACCCACTTATTTATCACCGGGTGCCAGGTGGGCATGGCCCACTAGATGGGCATGGCTGTGGTGGTCATAGCAGATAGGGTGGGTGTGGCCAAGGTGGGTGTGATCAGCTCAATGTTGCTCGTGGGGAGGGATGCCTGTGGGGGCTGGGCAGGTTTGGGGGAGATCCAGGAGGTCTCTGGCAGGTGGGGTGGTGGGCAGAAGGCTCGTCCTGCGGGAAGAGGCGAGGCAAGGTGAGGCAGGGCGGGGATGCCATTGTCACAGGGCAAGGTGAGGCAGGGGCTGGGGCGGCTGCTGCTTGACACCATCGGCTCCTGCACACAGAGGCCAGCGAGCGCTTGGCTGCTGGGATGCATCCAACTACGTGGGACCTCAGCGAGTTAGCGGGTGGCTGGTTGAAGGACGGTTGCCATCTCCGGGGCATGGCGTGTGTGCCCACAGAGAGGGCTCTAAGTGCCGCCTCTGGCACACGTGCCATAGATTCACCACCACTGTTCTAGGATAAGAAAGCTGGTAAATCCTAACTGAGTAATTTGAAATCACATCACTGAATTGGTATTTAATTAGAGCTGATGACTGATACATGAATTCCTCGCCTGCAAAACTGAAGGTTGGCAGCCGATGTACATGCTCTGAGAATGCTTCTAGACACAGCTTTTAAAGTACATGCAGTGTTGCCTCTTAACATCTTTCCTTTCTATTAAAATACTAGCTAGAGAAGAGAAACAGTGACTTCCCCATCCCAGCTGCTCTTACCACATAATAAAAAGACTACTACATACACCTTTTATTTAATCATAGTAGAAGCCGCTTATCAGGAAGGACACATGGAATATTTCAGATTAATAACGCTAAACCCAAATATGTGAGCAAATTAAAATAGTAACTATGCCCCATTTAATTTTTTGTGGTGGCCTATGAGTTATTGTTTTAGAAAGCATGGAAGAATAGATGTGATTGCAGGAGAGGAGAAGGAACTGCTGAAACCTGAGCATTTCATACTGGAAAATATTTGAAAATAACGTTTTGTTCCCTAAAAATTGCCCTCCCAAGAGAAAAAGATATAGAAATATGAGTTATGGGCCAATGTAGCAGTCTTCCGTCAATGAATATTAAACAAATGCTGTTTAATCAATATTAAGTCCATAATGAGCTACTTGATGTGGACCATAGCTCTTTCCAGCACTACTGATCACTGGCCATGTTGGAGTTGATGATATACACCAACAATGTACATGGGGATCCACAGGTTCCTATTCTTGTTTAACTGGAAAGGAATGAACGAACAATTTGTTGTCTTCATACATTTTTTTTTTGCTGTATTGGAAGCACTGAGGTGCTTCCATAGTGAAAAGATCAACCAGTGACATCACAGTTGCCCAAGGGACTCCCAGTTGGGGACTCCTTTCATGTCTCCATTAATGAGTTCACCATTATCTATTCATGTTTGCACGCTTTTGAACTGTCAAGTCGGCAGGAGTTGCAGCTTCATTCATGTGAATCTGAGCATTTACCCCTTATGAACCTCAAAGCTCTTATGGTTTCCTCTAAAACCACAACCCTCCCACATTCCTTCCATTCCTGCCACCTGTGACCAAGGCATCCATAGTTTTGCATTTGGTGCTCAAGGACTATAGATGTTCTTCCTGTCACCCAAGCACTTACACTCCAGCTTATCCTCAGCCCGTCCCCTTTCCAGCAGTGACAGGTAGCAGACAATGTCCTTCAGGTAGACTACCTGAGCCAAAGGGGCTGGTGGGTGTGAACTGGCTGTTTTCAGGGAGATGTTACTCTTTCGGAGGTTGAAAGGAAGTTTCTTCTCCAAACTTTTGGAACCTAAAGGGAAGAGAAAAGGGTTCATGTTGCTTTAGAATAACTGTTTCTAAGCTGCCATTCTTTAGCTTATAATTCAAAATAGGTACAGGGTGACTGTTAGGTTATATTGATCTAGGGCTACAGTATAATGTGGATCTTAGATCAAAAGTAACTTTTGTAAGCCAAAGGGCTGCAACAGATTTTGCATGGCAAATCAAGAATCAAGGTTGTAGGTGAAGTTGTAGTTCTCATTGTAAATTTTTCTTTGGTGTGTTTTTTATTATGCAATTGCATAGCAGTAACAGGTGTTTTTTTAAAAAATCCAAACCTAAAACTCCAGTGAATAAGAAAACATGGTAGCCCAATGGGGAAGTTAGGCTGAGAAGAACTGTAAGGAGAGGCAGGGAGGCAGGGAAAAGAATGAGGTTAGGAAGAAGGATGTTTGCATGGAAATATGTTTGTCTATGTGTATGTGTGTGGGGGGGAGGAAATTATTCTGTTGTATAAATTAACATTTTGTTAAGTAGGCAATTTTGTGGACTAGAGCTGATTAATATATTTATTAGATTGTATCTTGAATCTGAAAAGGAAGATACGACTTGGAAGAAATAACTAAAGTGTGGGTGAAGAAATCAGTTCACCAATACATTCTAAGCTATGTAGAATGTTTGCAATTTTTTGCAAACCTGGCACAAACTAGTATGCTGAAAACATTGGGTCACCCAGTGACTTCCCCATCCCAGCTGCTCTTACCACATAATAAAAAAAAATTGAATGACAACAACTCGTAAGGAAGCAGCTCTTACTCCACCCTTACCAATCACGCAAACGTCAAAAAACATCAAAAACTGCTGAAGTCAGAATGCTTGGAATAAAAATACAGATTCCTAGCTGAGCTCAAACATTAGATAACATCATTCCAATAAGATTACAGGTAGTCCGTGACTTACAACATTTGTTTAGCAATTTTTCAGCTATAACAGCACTGAAAAAAGTGACTTATGACTGGTCCTCACATTTATGGCCACTGTGGCATTCCCATGGTCATGTGATGAAAATTTGGGCATTGGGTAACCAGCATGCATTTATAACAGTTGCAGTGTCCTGGGGTCATATGATTGCCATTTGTAGCCTTTCTAGCCAGCTTCTGACAAGCAAAGTCAATGGGGGAAGACAGATTCACTTAATGATTGCATGATTCATTTAACAACTGTAGTGATTTACTTAACAATCATAGCAAAAAGTCATAAAATCAGGTGTAATTCACTTAACAACTGCCTTGCTTAGCAATGGAAATTCTGGAAATTCCAGAATGTGGTTGTAAATTGAGGACTATCTGTAATGGGTGAAGATTCCTTCAAACTGATTGATCCATATAGCAGATAAATGCACCTGGGCCGTTGAATCAGGGAGCCCACTGGAAGTAATTTATTGGCCAATGCTGCAAATTTGCTTTTGAAATCATTTTCTCAGTCCAGTGTAGATATTTCTGCTTCTTAAACCCTCAGAGAGGCCAAAAATGCATTACCTCAGCTCACCCTTCCACTTCAGGTTTCTTTACCAGATGTGTAGGATTTTGACCTCTGAAATGAATTTCATAGCTATATGTAATTGAGACTGGAAAATATATAAAGATGCCCCCATAAAAGAAAGGCAGATCTCACCTGGAGATTGTGGAGTAAGCAGTGAACCTGAGGAAATCTTGGAGGACCCTGAGGAGTTGTGAGCAGAAGGGTTACCAGCAGTGGATTTTTGTGATGATGATCTGGACCAGCTAGGTGAGGCATTCCCAAGGACATTGATGTTGGATGGTGGAACAGGACTGAGAGATGCTGATTGTGGTTCTGCTAGATTTGTCTGGGGACATTTGGATTCAGGGGTATGCCTTCCCATGGCACTTAGAAGAGTTTTCCCATTGATCCCTATAATTTAAAACAAAGTGATAAATCATCCTTGATTTACGAATCATGAAATGAATCATAATGAAACATGATGTTTTATATTAATTTTCTCAATATGGAGGCCTCCTTTCCATGTTATACTATTATTTCCAAACCTATCATCTCAGCCAGCATGGCCCAGAACATTACCTTTGTGCTGCCCTTCTCGATGGTTGTATACATTCCCTTGGTGCCTCATACACAATTGGACCTTATTTTATGCAAGAGATTTTTGCAGAGACAGGATTTTCTTGTAAATCCTGAGATGTGAATAACTTAAGACACCAGTACTATACAGTATGTGATCCCTTGAACTCTGTTTTGCATTTTATAGGGTTGCTGTTTTTTTTTTTTTTTCCAGTTTTCAGGGTGGAAGCATGAAAAGAATAACATATACTTTAAAATAGATTTTACATAGTTCATAAGACAAATAAAACTCTACACCCCCCCCCAATAATAAATCATGACCGTCTGTGGTTAAGGAATCAGCCTGGAAAACCAGGAGACTGTGAGTTCTAGTAGGCATGAGAGCCGCTGTCTTAGGCATGAGAGCCGCTGGGTAACCTTGGGCCAGTCACTCTCTCTCAGCTCCTCATCTCACAGGGTTGTTATTGAGGGGGGATAAAGGAGGAGAAAAGTGTGTTGGATATGCCTGCTGCCTGTAAAATTATTTGTAAAAATAATAATGGCAGGATATAAATAAAATAATTAAAAAGGTTGGGCAGTACTAGTCATCTAAGAGAAGCCTGAAAGTAATAAAGTGACAAAAATATTTCTTAATCCTGATATGCTTAATGTATTTATTTAATACTTCATATAGACATGAAAAACCCTTTCACGGATGTTGAAATGATAATAAATTATTCATTTTGTCAGAGGAAGTTGAAAACACAAAGCTGATGATCTTTTATTTGTTTTTCTGAGGAATTTACTTATAATTTTCTGATGAATTTACTAATTTATTCTTCTGATGAACTTGTAATTTTCATGGTGAACTTGCCATTTTCTGTACTGCACTTGCATCAGCTCTTTTTGGTAATAATTCTGACAGCCTTTCCTACCTACCATATTGCCCACCAGATTCTCCTACCATTTCCCACCAGCGTGTCCATTTTAATCTAGTAATTTAGTAGAGAAGTAAATGGCACATAAGTATATTGCTATAAGAAGGTTGTATGGAAACTGCTCAATTTCATCCTCATAAAAACTCATATTACTAATATTGATTCAGTCCAGATCGCAAATTAGATTACATATATATTTAAAAATACTAATCTCTTGGTTCCTATATATTTCATCTGATTATCTCATGCATCTAACTAGAAAGGTAGTAGAGGATACCACAAAATCAGAACACAGCATCGAAAAAAAGGACATCTCCACATAGCAACTGTTTCCTGGCAAGGGATAAGGATTAGAAAAGCCAGACCTCTCTGAAATAATGGGAGATCTCTTGGCACCCAAGGATTGTTTGCTTAACGTATTTACTTAGCTGCTGTTGTATGTTTCTGCGCAGGATTCCAGAGCCTGGGTAGTCCCTAGCTTTATATTTGTTTTTACAGCATAAAGTGACAACAAAGTGTTGGAACTAATGTTGAATAAAACTCAGCTTGTTGGCACCCATAAAGCTCCTTATTAAACATGAAATATTGTGCAGCTCTTAAAGTATTTATATTGGATACCTGTAACAGGAGCACAAGCAACTTCTGTCTGGATGGATATACCTGTATCAAGAGTCTTGGATTCTGAATACATAAAAGAAACATAAGAACGTAGACATACTTTAACAATGGGCAGTTGCCATCAACTGATCAGTATTCGTTGCAAATTTACAATAGCAATTGCATGTTCTACTTTTATTCCACAAAAGGCTCATAAATATTTAGGCAGAATATAGAGCTGCAAATATTTACTATTTTGCTTTAGCCTTACAAACACTGCTGCAGAAACAATTTTAGCCCAATCAACTGTGGGAAAGCATAACTCAGCGCATTATGAGGCAAAGCAGGACACTGCTGCTTGCTCCTAAGTGGGCACAGCAACGGACTATGTGGAGAGACAAGTATCTTTAAAAGGAAGTGCCACAACCAGGATTGTGCCTGGCTTGGCCCCATCATGGGAATAGCAGTAGGAGCATTTGGAAAGGGGAAGACTGGGATGGGTGCATGATATTTGTCAGGGCAAAGGAGTTCACAGGTGGCAACTACTCTTCTCCATAACTCCTGATAGAGGTGGAGACTCTATATGTAGAGGGACATGGGGTGGGAAAAAAATGAATAAATGGCTGTTTTTTCTGTTACTGTTTTGATTCCCTTCCCCTCTTCCTGTCAATCTCAGCCTGGTTCAGGGTTTCCTCAAACTTACTTGTTTTTTCCCTACTCAGAAATTAACTTGCCATTTGCTGAGGTGTATTAAAAGAAATGGTGAGGTGGCCATTTTAAAAACAACATCAACATGGCTGTGCAGTTGAGCCACAATGATTGTTTAAAAGAATTTAAGAGCAGTCACTGATGGTTATTTGCATTCAGGCTCCAGTGTGCAAGAAAAGAGCTTTCAGTAGGCCAGCGAAGCCTTCCTTCCCAACAGACAATATTAACTACACAGGAAAAGGTTATCTCCTTTTGTGCTGACACCAACTACCTTCCATACTCCATTTATGTTGCTATTTTGAAAACTGATCTAGTTGATAAAAAACATTATTTAGAGAAACAGGTGGAATGAATAAATACCCCCCACACCCCTTCTCTTTTATATGAGTACTAAAAAGGAGTTAATTAAAACAAAATCAAAGATATGTGGCTCAAGCCCCTGCATCTGAACCTAATATGTGATAAAAATAATTATTGAAGTATGTGTTCAGTTCACAATTCAAATCACGTTAATTTAACTTACCATTACACCGCTACACAAAAGACAGTCCATGAATGCGGAATGTGACTGGTATCTATGAAAAGATTTTTGTGATGAAAAAGAAATCGGGGGAGAAACACAGCCCAGTGAGGATTAAGGGCCATAGAATGTCCATTTCATAAATGAAACAGCAAATTCAAAGAAAGTAAATAGAACAGAATATCCTAGAAAGGGCATAACGGAACTCTAAGCAGAAGATATTATACAGTGCATCATTTAGTAGCAGAGCCCATTCATTCTTTTAGGGAAACTAACCTGCCCAGACACGTCAAAATATTCCCGTGTCAGCCATTTCCACACTTGTGAGAACTGAAGCAGCAAAGAAAGCATATGGCTTACCAAGGTTGCTCAGTTGTGAAATACTGGAACTTTGCTGCTGGTTCTCGAGAGAACATTGGCCAACTTTTCTTTTGAAGGACATGAAGAGGTGCTCACAGAGCTCTTCTGGAATATCCACCTCCAGATATGTTCTCATAAAGAGCTGGAACCCCTCATAGTCAATAGGCTAACAGGAAGAGAGAAGTAAAAGACACAAGTGTTTTTTTTAAATGAATTTTTAAACATTAGAAATCTTACCAGTTTCATTTCATCCCCATTTTAAATTGAAGCTCTCAGTTGAGGAGCTTGATGAAGGAAGGATAGAAGGAAAAAAAAATCAAGGAAGAAACAAATAAATACAACTGTTAAGGTATTGCTTTCTACATAGTGAAAATAGATCAAGAACTTTGTCATTAGACATTGTAGATGGGTCAATAAGTTGTTGGGAAAGGTATCTGGAATAAAGCATGGAATTATATTTGATCAATGCAATTTTTAATCTCCTGGATTTGGGGTGTTAATTTGGACAAAGGTTTTCCTTTTTATTTGAAAAGCCATGTAGACACTATTGCCTTATGAATACGTTGGCATTTAAAATATGAAGTGTGTGTGTGTGTGTGTGTGTGTGTGTGTGTGTGTTTGTATTGGAGACCAGTTGGTGGTATACTTTGAGCACTGAGCTTCGAGGGTCTGAAGAAAGGTTTGTTAGAAAGAAAGAAAAAAAATGCATTTAAATTTTAAGAAAATAACTTTATGCAAAGAACAGATATTCACTGAAGCGTATCTAGTGTTTTTTGAAGAAAGCCCATGGATCATGAACACATTGATCTACAGGTATTCATCAGAGCTGCAGCTTACCTGTATACTGATACATAATCTCTTTCCTATGTACTATAATGCATGTAATTAGCATTATATTTCAGGAATACAAAGTATGCCACAAGGAAGCACAGTAATACATTTCTTACATGCATATTGAAATCAGGGTTACATGCATATATGCAGAACAACAGTTGCAGCGTTGAAGGCAGAACCTCAATAAGGAACACAACTAAAGTTCTTTGAGCATCACCACAACAGGCAAAGCATTTAGCACAAGCTTTTGGAAGTAATCCTGACAAATGTATTGAAATCTTCTTAGTGACATTGGTAGAATGGGCTTGGCTGAAAAAGTATTTGTTCAAGAGGACGTGCGTGCACACATGAACACACACACACACACACACACTTTTCAGATTTACCCAGTTCTGTTCATTGTCCTGCTTGCCATCTGGCAAACAAGGACATCTTGCCTACATTTAATTGCTGGGACTCTTGAGAGCTTTCTACTATGCTGAATTCTGAGGTAGCTGATGAAAGACAGACAGTGGTTAACAGGAAGCTCACAATTTTCATAGTGACTTTATAATAAAAGTTGCTTAAAAACAAGCGGGGCAGCCATAAGTGAGAAAGCAGAAGAGATTAAAGTAACAATAGAGCTGCCAAAAACTTGCTCTTGCCAGCTCTTAGTTTTGCATTCTGTGAATTGTTAGCTGTAATTCATAATTCTGTAGCAAACCTATTATATTCCCTGCAACATTTAACCAAAGTGATTAACAACAGTTAACAAGCATTGCTGTCACTACTCTATTCAGTTGCCCAAATAACTGGACTAATATGCTATATGCTATGATATCATATAACACTGCAAAAATTCCACTGTCTCTTTATCTTCCTTATCAATTAACTTGTTTCTGAAATGTTTTCTGATAAAACAACACAACATTCTTTTTTATTATTTGAGGCTTGGGTGAATAGAGAACAAGTCAGGCCCAATGCCCTGGTACACAGAATTCAGCTTGGAGCATCTTTACCAGCCATGACTTTTCCCTTTGACAATATATTTCATTCTCTTTCAAATAGACATTTTTCTTATTTTTCTTTCTGCAGTATTTTATGGCTACTATAGATTCATTTTAGTTAGGCTGTTTTGAATTTTAAGGATTAGATTTTTTTTCTCCCTAACGATTTATTGCTCTCCAGGATAAGCAATTTTGCTTAGGTTTTTTTTTTTTTTGGTTTAATAATGTGCAGATTTAAATTTCTTACCATAAATATAAACTTAGATAATTTGAGGGAAATCTTAGTTTATGGCAAAGCAACCATACAAAGCAACAAATAGCACATCACATCAGAGCCTGAGTTGGAAAACAAGTCTTACTTGGTTCAAAGTGTCTTGCTTCTGAGGGAATAAAGAGCAGAGAAAGACAAAGCAAAGTTGAGTGATGAAGCATTGAACAAGTAGCTACTCCATTGGACAAAGACAATTCAAGTTTCCAGGAAGGATTAGACTGCAGTTCTTCCCCAAGTTTATCACCAAAGAAGGCGCTTGGGAAAATACATTGTTTTAAAGTATCCTTATTTTAAACTTCACCATCAGATGAAAAGACATGTTCTAGGCAGAAGATTTTGGATAAGATCTCTGGCTTGGGAAATTGCAAATAACTGATAGCAAAAAAGTTTTGTAAGGAAGAGCTTTCTGTTCAAAGGATTTAAAGAGATACGTGTGTGTGTGTGTGTGTGTGTGTGTGTGTGTGTGTGTGTGTGTGTTTGTCTGTCTCTGTGTTCTATTTGTATCTAGGACTTCTACCAAAGAACTTTGAACAGAATATAGATTATCTCTGTTTATTCTCATTAACAACTATCTGAGTTTAATTAGGGTTGATTAGAGAGTGTGCTCCTTAATACTGATTTTCTGACGAGATGAAGAACAACACATTACCTCTCTTCATTCCAGACTAACACCTGGATCTGATGTGAGGGGAGAGTTTAGAATCTTAACTGGAATTTATATGGTGGATGTATGCCCCTCATGGACCTTGCAATTGTTCCCCGCCCCTCATTATTTCCCATCAAAGGCATATTTCATACTCTGCCTATTATAGAACTGGATCTGCAACAAACAGCGAAATTTTTCATGAGGTTATTCAGAAAGAAGTCCAGTGAGGCTTATTCCCAGGACTGCAATATAAGTGAGTATTATTTTTTTTTACAATGTAGGAAACTTGGTCTAACTCCTACATTGCCCAGCATATAACACTAACAAATTGTTAAGCATATATTGGGACTTGTGTTACTGGTTGATCTACCTCCAATTTCAACATATGGCAGAACAACTTTGCTTTAAGTAATTAAGTGCAACAAGGAATAATTTAAGCAATATTTCACTAAGTTACATTGAAAACTATTTTTATCAAAATGAAGCAATTTCTCTATCAGATATACTGATTACAGCAACTTATTCTTGGATCTAGTGATTTCTTCAGAACAGACAATATCAACTGATGCAAATTTAGTTTACTGTTTTTATTACCACACGATGTTCTTAAAATTAAATATTTGATATATTTCAAATTGATGTGTGATTTTTCTGATAAGGACTTTTAAGACATTCTTTTTTGGATCTACATAACTGATTAAGGCCTCCAACAGAAAAATGATAGAAAAATGAGTATTATAACTGTTCCTTCTCCTTCACTTCCCTGAGTTCAATTTAATCTAAAACAGTTACAGAGTTCAGATATTGCTGGATGAAACTTACTGAACAGTTGTAGTTTACATGATTTTCATGTAAACTTTTTTGGGACTTGTATTTCCCATCATGATCTAAAAGCAGGTTGGAAAAGGCAGCTAAGAATACTTTTATTTTGCCTGGGACTTGCATATGATTTTTGTTATTTATTGGTTTGACTATCCAATATTTATTGTTGTATGACTTGGAATCAGATAAATATTTTAGATATTAATTGCCTTTTTAACAGTGTTTTTTTAACATCTTAATTATATAGTTTAGAAAAGACAATACAGTTGGCTTCATGGAAAGTAGAGATACGTTTATTTGGGTAGTTGGTGTTGTGAATTTATATAAGTTTTATTTACAATATATTAGTTTGGCCTAGTGGATAAGGCACCGGCTAGAAGCTGGGAGACCTAGTTCTACTCCTGCCTTAGGCATGAAATCTGGCTGGGTGACTTTGGGCCAGTCACCTTCTCTCAACTCACCTCACCGAGTTATTGTTGTGGGGAAAATAGGAGGAGAAGGAATATTTATGTATATTTGTTGCCTTGAATTGTTTATAAAAATAGTAAAGGTGGGATTAAAAAAAATAAATCAATAAATTATTTTGTTCTGCAAATTACTTTCCTCAAACTGGCTCAAAATCAAAAGTGCCAGATTGGTATTGAGTTAGGTAAGCGTTTGAAAATTCAGCAAGAAAAAGCACCAAAAGTACAAATAAGTATCAATATACTTGGTATATGTGGAAACACCTAAAAACAACTACAATCTAACAAAACACAAACACTGGTCTTGTGCAGTTAAAAATAAAAGGCAGTTGAAAGTAGAACAATAGATTGCATCTAAAACTGGAAGAGATGACTGTTCAAAAAAAAAGTTAAAAGGATTTTGCAATTTGGTCCAGGACTGTATGTGTAATCTTAGAGGAAAAAGATAATATTGGGTATATCCATACTGCCTCATTTTGCACTCAAACGTTTACAGTCATTTCTACAATGTGATTATTGTGACAAGTAATCTGCTACCTGAAACAATGTTTTAACTTGCCTGTCAACAATGATGACTATTCCCTCAAAAAACTACGGTATCTTGTTTTGGCTTTCCTTAAATGAAAAAGGAAACTGGGCTGAAGCAATATAATTCTGGGCAGTGGATTATTCCTCCCTCTTCCACTGTAAAGTTATTACTAGGGGGTAGTGATGGGAGGATAATTAAACAAATAAAAAGTATATGTTACAAAAGATCTCCATCAAAATATCTCCATATATTCCTTTTTGGTCCATTTCCTCCACATCCTGTCCTGAAAAGCAAATCCATCTTCAAAGGATTTTAAAGGCAACTAGTTGTTATACCTAATGGCAAATGCAACAATTTTTCCAAGTGGATAATAATGAAGTATACTTACTTTAACTGCTTAGTGCAGAAAAGAAACCACAGCATATGCTCTTGGCAGAAAGCAGAATGCCCCACTTCTAGCCACCATAAACAAACATTATCTTGCTCATTTCCAAGAGTCTAACAACTACTTTTCTAAATATGAATGTGGTTACAATTTGTGCTGGTTTTTTGTGGACTTGTCTTTCTAATTACTCTAGGTGTCAAAACTTTCCGCACAAATATATCAAATATAAGGGGGGAGGGGAGACTAAACCTAGACATATCTTTGATATAAACTGATGATACAATATTCAGATTTATTTATTCATTAAGTGTAATTCATTTCTATATGTCATTAGAAAACAGTGGGAATAACTTTTAAAATGTTGTAAATGACATGCATTTTGACTACATGATTTTATGAAATACTCCTATAATGAATAGGCTTCTCTACCCTGAACATTTAAAAATCAGTAATGATATTTAAAAATTAAATATGTCTTTAAAAATCAGCTTACAATAAGGCAGCTACTTGTTTTCCAATTTCCAAGTAGTTAAAACTCTGTTGTATCATCCAATACCGTTTTCCCGAAAGTAAGGCCTACCCCGAAAATAAGCCTACCTTATTTGATTTTTGGGAGTGGGCCTAGTATAAGCCCTACCCCCAAAATAAGCCCTAGTTTTGGGGTGAGGCACACACCTAAAAATCAAGCTAGGATGGGGGTGGGGATCTGCCCCACATACCCCACACCCACTTACCTTGCAGCCAGGCCTCTCCTCGCCGGCCCACTTCTTCTGCAGCCAGGCCTGCATTTTGCAGTCCGAGGCCTTTCCAAGAGGGCACTGCAGCCGAGAATTGAGCTATGGATTCAGTTGATAGCTCGGTTCTGCAAGAGATCTGCAGCTGAGGACTGAGCTATGGATTGAATCCATAGCTTGGTACTCATCTGCAGAGGCCTTCCAGAAAGGCTAGATTGCAAAATGCAGGCTGGAATGCAGCTGCAGCATGAAGTTGCTCCTTCATCCCAAGAAGAAATGGACCGGCTGGATGGGGCTCTTGGTACTGGAGGAGAGTAAGACATCCCTCAAAAGTAAGACCTGGTGCCTCTTTTGGAGGCAAAAAAAAAAAAAAAAAGACCCAGTCTTATTTTCAGGGAAACACGGGTAGCAGAACGTTAGGATTTGTTTCTCACTAAATCCAGTAGAGCTAATTTATAAGCAGAGATGGACTGCAGATCTTTAGAAATCCTTATTTATTACTAGGATTTTAATGCTGCTCTACTCTTATGGCCTCTGAGTAGCTTACATTCCCCCTTCACATAAAAAGATTAAAACAAATCAATATTATAGTCAACATTTTACTATGATTAGAACAACCCTACAGATGAACTGCACCAATATAGGAACCAGATAATGAGGATCTTGCAACTTATTACAAATCTTCCTTGAAAGTTCTCTAGAATAAACAGTTTTATAGTTCCTGGAAAATCAACAGGATGGATACCAGCCTGATCTTGGCTTTTGATTTTCATTAATATTTTGAAAGAATTTTCATACAAAAATGAATTACCTTTCCCTCTCTCACTCCCCTAGACATGATGCAAAATGTTATCTTTCCTTAGCAAATAACTTGTAATTAAAAAGAACTTAAGGCAGGCACTGGTGGTGTTTGCACTCAGGCTCCCTGTGTAGGAAGAGGAGGTTTCATCTTTCCCTTTCCCATTCAGCAATTTAAAAAATATCACTTCACATCTCATAAGAAAAACTTACCTTTTTTATGGTGCTAATAAAAATCACTTTATCTCCTTACAACTCTTTTAAAAACTGATGTGACAGATAAAAAGGCATATTTAGGGAAACATTTAGTTTGGTTGGTTTAGGGTCTGAATAATTAAAAAAGCTTACATAAGATTCAATAACCATTTTAGCCTAAAAATATGATTAAGATCCTTTGGGAAGTTTATATACAGAAATCTACACAGCTAGTTGATTTTGTCAATAGGCATTTAAGAATACAGTTAATGCAAATTTCCTTACTTGTTCTGGATTATATTTTGACAGAATACCGTCCCCATGGAATTCTTCCAAAACATCTCTCAATTTTTTGGTAGAATCTAGAAAGTGAAACACAGGCCAGTATGATTAAGAGCAGCCTACTTCCAAACAAGTCCTTCATAATTGCTTAAGAAATGATTGTACAGAAGAATAGCAACACCTAGAATCAAAATAGTAAAAACTATATATATATTTCCTTAATAAGAATATTTGGTTTCTTTTAAATAGCTTAAATTGCATTAATAAATGTGAGATCTACTTTCCTAATCCCAGAGCTATCTTGTAAGAAATACATACATCACATTGCAAATTCAAATGTTGGACCATGTTATTGTGTGCAGAAGAAAAAAAACTGCTTTCCTTATGTGATTTCTATGCCAGCCTTACAGCCATTAAAATCTAGTAGTTAGAACCATTATTATTATTTTTTTACAGAAAGCATTTCCAATTTTTCTGAGGGAAGATCTATTTTCCATGCAAGCCACATAATGATTCCCATGTGTATTATCAGCTTGATAAAACATTAGAATAAAAGTAAAGAAAGACAAGTTCTAGCCATTGAATGTTGACTAGATAATCTTCATATTTCAGCCTACTGATAGAACTGCTGTGAAGATAGAATAGTGTTTGAAAGCACCATTTTTCCTTCCTTAACGTAAAATGCTGTTAAGAAGCTCCATCTCTGCATGGGGTATTTAGAATGATTGAAAGTACTATAAAGGCAGACAAGCAGAGGGGACGACATAGTATTAAATACATAACAAAAGGAGACAGCACCTCTGCTGAGTGAGTGATCTTCAGGATGCACTATGTCAGATCATGTTCTTCATATCTATAGGAGATGTAGGAAGAATATTCTGGCCTAAATCCAAGATATTATGCAGATTGAGGCAAAACTGCAAATGGGACTTTTTATCAACCCCCGTCATTTATTTTATTTATTTATTAAATTTGTTTGCCACCCATCTTGCTGCAAGAGGATGCTATTTAAGCTAGTGAGGTTAGTGCATGAGGTGGAAAAATTGGGTTGTAAGCTGCCCAGAGTTTGATTTTATGATGGGTGGCTATGCACATGTTTTAAATAAATAAATAATAAACACACAAGCACCTCAATTTGCGGTCCTTTAACAATTTTGTTGCCTGAGAAACTACCTAATGATTCAGCTCTCCTTGGCTGCTGATATCCTGAAGCCAGCAATGCCTCGGAGCTAGCATTAATAGCATCTTGAGTCATTTAATTTAATATAAGGAGAAAATTATCAAAAGACCTAAAATAGTTATTTATGTATATTTCAGAAATTATAATCTGCCCCAATTCCAAAGGACTCTGGTAGTATGTCGTAAAAAGAAAAACAAACAAGATCAATACAACACAGGCATATAATCCCTAGCACACAGGTCGGCAACCTGCGGCTCCGGAGCCGCATGCGGCTCTTTGAGCCTTCCCCTGTGGCTCCCAGCCTCCTCTGCCTTTGCAGAGAGAGACAGAGACAGAGAGAGGCAATTGCGCTTCCCTGCTTCTCTCTCTCTCTGTGTGTGTTTTGTATGTGTGTGTTGTGTGTGTGTGTGTGTGTGTGTGTGTGTGTGTGTGTGTATGTGTAAAAGAGAGTGCACTCACATTGTTCTCCGAGGAGCTGAAAAGCTTTCTGGGCGGAGCTCCTCCCTTTGCTGCGTCTCAGCAGGAAGGGCAGAAGAGAGCTAGCTAGCCCAGCTAGGCTAACTCAGGAATTCTGGGAGTTGAAGTCCATGAGTCATAAAAGAGACGAGGTTGCCTACCCCTGAGATTGTTGGAGAACAACTTGAAGCTTGCCAGGTGAGCAGCAGATGGGGGGGGAGAAAGAGAAAGAGAGAGAGAGGGGGAGGGGGAGAGAGAGAGGAAAGAGAGAGAAAGAAAGAGAGTGGGGGAAGAGGAGTGGCAGACCAAGGGCAGAGAGGGAGGGAGGGAGAGAGACAGAGAGAGACCCTTTTGACATCTAAAATGAAGATAACACTGCATATATCCTTTTTTTTACCTATGTGTGTATGTAATTTTATTCTCTTAAAGCATTCTCTCGGTGATCATTGTTTTAATAGTATGGATATTCCCAAGAGTCATATTTTTACTTTTATTTTTAATGTGTGTGTGTGTGTGTGTGTATACACACACACACATACACAAACACTCTCTCTCTCTCTCTCTCTCTCACACACACACACACACCTATAATAAAGATAAAAAAGGATCTATGCAGTGTTATCTTCATTTTAGGTATCAAAAGGGTTTTGCGGCTCCCGGTGTTTTGTTTTTGGGGAGAAACGGGTTCAAGTGGCTCTTTGAGTGTTTTGGGTTGCCTACCCCTGCCCTAGCAGAAGCCAAGATAGATGTCCTCAATCAATCAGTTGAACTTGCTAAAATAAGACAAGTTTAATTAATTTTTGGAACATAGGCAAAGTAAGGGCCATATGTACCTAACAGCAAAGAGTATTCCAGAATGTAGGGGCAACCACAGAGAAAAACAGTCATCTTATCCATGCCACATATACTTTGCAATGGAGGAAAGACTTTCAGTGGTCTTCTCTAAATGATTGGACTCGTCTGTTTTAAAATAAGTTCATTCTTTTTCAGGAAAGGATACTTGGTTATTTAAGAAAGATGGCTTTCCATACTTTATACTGAAGATGTAAACAGATCTGAAACATCTTAACATATACGATTTGGATGTGAGCTTTTGATAGCTCATTTTAGCCATCATTTATTTATATTTTTATTAATATAGAATTTGTGCATTTATGAGCAATTTGGATATATTAAACTTTAGGTGTTGCAAATATACTTTTGGGGAAAAAGAGAACCCTAAAGAAATATGTTTAATTTCAACCCTGATCTGGCCCTTGACTGATAAATGGACTAATATAATTCTGTCTTATCAAGGTTTAATCGGTGACTTTATAATGTCATAATGCTTTATAAATAGGAGAAAGAGGAAGACAATATTTTTCTTTTTTTCTCAGATATATATCAATGTATCTTTCCCCCTTTAATGTGCTTTTTACTTATAGTAAATAAAACAATAAAAAATATGATTTGATAATGGCACAGTTGTAGAAAAGTTGCACAGCTTGTTATTCTGGAATCTATTTCTTTACCTCTGCTGCTATTACTACTGAAAAATAAGTCTCAGAGCAGATGTAAAAGAGGCAGAATGGAGACAACTTTGTTTTTTCGTGGCAAAAAAGACAAAATGTTTAAGTATCACATCTCTTCCACAAGCTAGTCTCAGATGTTAATGATTATATTCTACTCCTTTCAATTTTTTAATACCTACTGTCATGCAAACTTTCTATCTGCAAGGATTATAGTCAGTGACAGTAAATTGGACTTCTTACATGGGCTAACTTACAAGCACAAGGTTTGTTTACTTTAGGCTTAGCATGATATATGAACCAACCTATTATAACATTATGAGTAAACTATGCCACTTTAAGTTGTAGAGCAAGCAGAGTTCTAAAGCGACATGGTTTACTCATAGTATTATAATGGGTGAGTTTGTACCTTGGTTTATGTCACAGAATTAATATAGCAGGGAATGATAGTATCTCTTTTTAACTCTACCATCAGCAATATTTAAGGAGAATTCTTCCATAAAGTGTCTTAATGGAAGTCATTGTTCTCTGCTTCTTAATGCTCCTTAATGAGCTTTCAGAACTCCAGGAATCGAAATGTCCCAGCAGTCTCACAGTTCAACTGCTCTGGATTAAGAAGTTGGTCCCAAAGGATAAAACATATTGAAAAATCACAGGAAAATGATTAAAAGAAAGAGTCTGTTTTGAGATGTCTATAGAGGCTTCTATCTATAAACTATAGGGATTGCTCAAGATCCCATCTCTTCAGGGATAATGAATTTTGTGATGTTTAGGCTAGAGTCTCTGAAAGATTAAATTCATGGTGATAAGTCAGTGGGAACATTCTTTTCTGTACATTCTCAGCACTTAAACTTCACACCGATCTTCCCAAATGGGAGTGTGGGATTCAGTTTCAGCTACATTGGCTGGAGGTCATGTAGTTGAAGTCCAATGAATCTGCAGAGCACAGTTGGGGAAGGTTATCTTATGTAGTTCCATGTAAAATATGTCTTTGGAAAATATATATATATAAAGCTGTAGAGTTGCCTTGGTGAGTTCTATAAACTTTAGACATGTAAATATTTTTAACAACTTTTTCTTCTTCTTCCACACTGCCAATCTTTATGATAATCTCTTAATCTGTTCTCTGAATGATGTTTCTTCTTCCATTTACATTGCTAACACTTTGTCCTTAAACACTAGCCAAGTGCAATTGATTTTCTTCCCTTAAATCAATACCAGCAGCCCAAATTCATGCTTTTTTTAAGGGAAAGATCCAGAATTTAAAGACTTTCTTACACAGCCAATGACATCACCATTTATAACTGAATAAGGAAGTGATGAGTTATGCTCTGTAGGTTACATCACTTTCTCCAGTCTGCCTTGACTCTGAGTAAGCCTAGGTAATCAAAGTCTCCCTTCCTCATTCTCCTCTCCCCTGCCCTCTCCTTTCCTTTCCTCACCTTCTTTGTGAAGTCTACTAATGAAGATATGGCTACTTCCTAGACACCCTTGTCCCTGTGAGAGCTGAAGATTTATAGTGTTGCTTAGAGTAATATGCTGTAGTTTTGCAGGGGCATCTAAGCCACTGAATTCAACCACTTGCTCAGTACAGGAAACCACATTAAAGCCATCATGATAGTTGGCTTAGACACATCCTATGAAGAAGAGCCTATCACCTTTCTGAATAATGAGTTTTGCTGATAAATTGAAAACTTGCTTTTATTGTTCAGAATTTTGAAACAATAATTAAATTAATTATTCTGAGTCCTGCATTCTGAGATGATGACAGGCTAGGTCTTTATATTATTCAGTTGACAGTCTTTCAGGTAAATAAAGACTGCTTCCTCTCAATCTTTTCTTCTCAAGGCTAAAGATTTTCTCTTCCTTCAGTCTGTCACTGTAGAACATGGGTGTCAAACTTGTCACGTGACATGTCGCAATGTATCACAACTCTTTTTGTATTGTCGGCAGTGGGGTGGGCACGGCTTTGGTATGATGAAACCAGCCCATGGGCCAGCAGTTTGATACCCCTGCTGTAGAAGATTTGGTTTCCAAGTTTCCTATTCACCCTGTTGCCCTTCTCTGGATCATTTTTAATTTCTGTAGATTTCCCAAGAATGTCTCTTCTTAGCATGATGTGCAGAAATGAACACATCGTCAAAATAGGATTTGACCTAAGCAGAACAAAATGGAACAATTACTTCCCATAATTCTCTAGATGCTGTTTTCTCCCATACCTAAATTCTACAAATTGCATTTCCTTTTTAACAGCCAGATTACTTTGCTTACTCAATTTGTGATCAGCTATTGTTCCAAGACACTTTTTAAAGTACTGTACTTCTGTCAAGCCAAATATCCTCTATTTATGTTTGTGAATCTGAGTTTGGTTTCCTAAGTAAATATCTTTGCATTCTCACTGTTAAATTTTGTTCCATTATTTTCAGGGCATTTTTCTAACCTATCAACATAGTGTTTAATTTTATTTCATCTCTTCTAAGTTTTGCTTCATCTGCAGATCTGATAACCATACCCTCCACCTCCTGATCGAGATCATTAATAAAAAAAGTTGAGGGTACAGAACTTAGGATTGAACCTTTTGACACCCTACTTCTTGGAGTATTCTCTTAATTGTCATACCATCTACCCCATGTTATCTATCTATCTAGATAAAGATATATAGATATAGATATAGTTTATATTTATCCTGGAGTTTGAAGATTATGTACTTTTAAAATCAAAGTGAGGTAAGATTATTTTGACAAATACACACCAATTTCCTGTATTTACAACGTTGTTTTTAAGGTACTTACATATCAATTGCTTTATGATCTGCTGTAGAATTTTACTAGGTTATTGATGACAGAGTGATTGGTCTATAATTCGTTGGATTCTTTCTTTTTTATATTTGAAGATACAGACATCTGATACTTCAGTATCATTTGATATTTTACCCATTCTCTGGGATTTCTCAAAAATAATACATAAAGAACTGGTCAGACCATCAGAAAGCTCCTTCATATTCTGGTATGCAATCTGGGCCTCAAAATCAGACTCATTCAGAACAAAGGGAAGGTTCCCAACAAACTCAAGCTTCAGTCATGTTTCTTCACCCTCTTTCCCACAGTTCTTTGATGAAATACATACTTTGTTATTAGAGGAGACAAAACTAACGGACCTGAGTAGTTTTGCCTCACTTGCTAGCATTTTTGCCATCATCACTGAGCAGCTGATATACATATATACACATGGCATACAAGACTAATTTATATTATGTAGCCAAGGGTTGCTTTGTAGCCAAATACTGTCTTACTATGCTCTTCCTAATTATGAAAGCAATACAATTTGTTTTTTGTTTTTCATGTGTTCATTAGTAAACCATATGATCTTCTGTCTGTCCAATTCCAATGCATATCAATTTGCTGTTGCCTAAGATGTCAATGTGTCATCAATTCATTTAATCTTTCACTGTTTTGGTTTTTTCCAATTTCATACTTCATACATTCCATGTAACAAGGTCTCTGAAGCTTTGCACTTTGCATTTTTTAATTTTTTTTCTAAATTTCAAAACTTTGTTTCGTTTTCTGCATGACATCAGCAGCCTGAAGTCTTGAAGGCTTTAGTCTCTAGCCATTTCATACATTAATATTTCAAAACATCCTCAGCTACATTTCAGTAGCTTGTTGAGCACTATTTAACCAGATCACCCAGCGCCATATTGTCAACCATTTAATATTTTTTATCTATGTGGTTTTCTTTGTAAAATACTGGAGAAATTTACCATCGTCTTCTGTGAAGTATGAAATGATGCCTTGGTCTTTGTTACTAACATGTTATTTTACCTATAGTATCTTCTTTATTACAATTAAACAAGGGTAATTGCTCCTCTTGTGCCTTTCTCTAACTTCAGCAAGGCAAGTCAGAAATTTCCTGGTAAGATGGTGTTTGGCAGAATTCATCTCCCAAAAGATGCAGAGTTAAATTTTCCATCACTACTGTTTCATATCCTTTTGAAAATTCTGCAATTATGTTTTGGAAAGCACCCACACCTCCCCTGTGGCTATGTGGACTTTAGTAGACACAAAACATAGTATTGTTTTTATTTATTCATTCACATATGGTTTCTACAATCAAACTGATTCCCTTGGATTTCTGAATAGGAAAACCCACCTCTCTTTCTATTGCTTCTACCTGTTTTGAACAAATTATATATTTAGATTATTATACCCCAGTCATGAGACTCATCCTATCATGTATCTATTATTCCTATGAATTAATTTCTAGTTTATTTTGATATATTTATTTAACCAATTTTTAAAGCCACCTATCTCAGCAAGTGTTTCTCTGGATGGTAAACGAACAGACTAAAAACAATTATTGGATACAAAAATTAAATACAAAAATAAAAAATCATTGCAGCCAAGAAAACAAGCATAGTCAACAGCACAAACATAGCCAGGAGATGGATGCTTTCACATTATTTGGGGGCCCAAGACTGAGCACAGAACTAGGTCTTTAGAGCCTCACAAAAAGCTAGCAGGGTTAGGGCCTTCCAAATCTCCAGAGTGAGAATACTAAGAGTTGAAGCTCACCTTGTTTATTTCCCAGTCTAAGCATTAATGTAGACAAGGAAGGTCAATAACTTTATAAGCCAGTGGTCTGAATTTTTTTTCACTGAATAATTAACAAATCCTGTTACAATACCTGTGCCTTCTATGGTGCACAAGTTTTTATTTGCTTCAGGCTTGGAGGGAGAACTTTGCTAGGAACTTCCCAGGAAACTCTCTTTCCACCCCACCCCACCCCACCCCACAAACAGTTTACTCCCTGGAATCTGGCTGTTTGATATGCTGCCTACAATACACTAATGAGAATTCTTCTACTTGGAGGACATTCTCTTGCACTTAATAGCTATTCAGAACTTGTCCTCACAGAAAACAGCTTTTCTAATCACTTTCCTCTCTTGTCTTTTCCTCTTGTTAAACTCCCTAAAACACTGTGTGTACTGCTTAGATGTACTGTGTGTTCTATGCATACTGTGTTAGTTGCCATGATATGAACTGTAGCACCTTGTAAAAAAAAAAAAACCGAACAAGATTGTACCTCATCTATTATATGATGGAGGTCAATCAGTTAAAATGTTATTGCTAACATAAATAATTCATCAAGAGAATGATAAGCATTTGGCTGAAGTAAGTACTTACATTCAGAATATTGCTGCAGCTGAGCAAACTCTGCTGGACTAAGCATGATCCACACCCCATCACTCATCTTTTAAGCTGAGTTGTGAGGAGACGATGTCACCTCTAATCAAAGTCCATGGAAAAGAGGCACATTTACATATGGAAATTCTTCTGGGCCATCACTCCAGTTTGGAACTGCAGGTAGTTACACTTTCTGTATTACTATTGTTAAGAATAGATGTCTACTACAGAACTCAAATCACATTCATCAGGAATATGGATGTGCCCAGTTCCTTAACAGCTAGTTTACTTAGGACTGCCATCAGAAAAGTACTTCATGAAGAATTCCAGTGTATCCAAACCTAGAATTAAAAGGAGAGTGAATTATACAATTATATGCACTTTTTCAAGATGCTTCAGAAGGTTTGCAAGAAGATGAAGATAGAACATACTCAATATTTTAGTTAGACATTTTACAAATGTAAAAACACCTACAATGAAAGAGGCTAATTCCAACAGGGTGCATGACTGGAACCAGAGAATCAAGTACAAATTCCTGCTTATTGATGATGTTCTCTCATCTACTTTTAGGTAGTTATCATATCTTACCTCCTAGGTTGTGAAGAAAAAGATGAGAAGACTTGAAAAAATAGATATGCAACCCTAAGCACTTAACAAAAAGATGGGACAGTTCTATGGTAAATAAAAAAGTTCAGCCAGATTAAATAGTGTGGCTGATATAAAAGTAGCTTAAAGAAATGAGAAAGACTGTCTGAACCACGTACTCAGTTGAACTATGCAAGGACTTTAATGCAGGCGTTTAGCTTGGCTCCACTGAATCAAAAAAGGATATTACAGCTTACAAAATGCATTTACAATTCTGAAATAAACACTGTTCTGCAGAGGGAGACATCCCATTTCTGCACAATGTGAATGTTCATTAATCTGAGGAATACTATTTGGCATTATGCCTTACAAGTCATGTAGCACCTTGTAGAAATGACTAGATAAGTACATGAAGAGTTTTGTTAAACCTTTTTGTACCTTCCTAGAATTTTCTTAGACAGTCTAATTTTTACATAACGTCAATAAATCAGAAGGTTTTCCTAAAATATGAGTGTAGTATACAGTATATTTCCAAATGAACGTTTGTCATGAATAAGCACAGTTACTGCTAATTTTCTTTATATGATGTCTCCCATATCTACATCATCCAGATGTATTCACTTTAGGGGTGTTGGAAGTTATACATCCAAAAAGGGGAAAACCACAATTTTGTTATTCCAAAAATATTTTTCCAGCATTTTTTTCTTTCCTCCTGTTCAGAAACCAAATATTACTTCTCTCCAGAGCTGGAGCAAATTACTCTTACAGAAAAACTATTCCTGAGCAACACGGAATAGTTGCTTTATTTTTATTAAATACAGAAAATTATTACTCATTTATAGGGACTTCTCCAAATTGAAACTGTCCAGATACTTTATTAAATGAGTTCCATAGTGTCCCAGAAGAACGATCATGACTCTACTTACTTGAATTATGGGAATTATAATCCAATCTCTGGAGAATACTGAACTGAGAAAAGTCTATTCGGTCTTTCTCCCTGACCCTCCCTCCGTCCCTCTACAGTAAAAGTAAAGGCATATTATTAATCAAACACTCTGCCTTTGCTGAATATAGCTGACTGCTTTACTCAGTTTAGCCTATTGTATGAGCAGGTCAATCAATATAAAAACATGTCTAGTGTGATATTTGGAGGCAAGGACATGATTTCTCCAAAGAAAAAAATTACCCAGAAAGTTTTTGAGAACTTCTTCTTAAATATGGATAGTGCAGTAAATTGAAAGAGGATAATACGAACTCTATGTAAGATGGTTTAGTGGTGTGTTTTGGTTTTATTTGTTTTTTGTTCTTGGACTATTCTAGCTAAAGTGGACAATTACAGCAAACAGAATTACCTTTTCCCTGCCTGCTTTCTATTTAATAATGCTAATGCTTACCATTTGACTCATAGAGACAGCAGATACAGCTGTTCCTGCAAGTAATTAAATCACACCCTCAGTCAGCAGCAATCTCCAATGACCCAGACAACCAAGAAGCAGAAATTTTTTATGTCCCTTGAGCTGCTGCAAAAAAGGCTGTGAGGTTGCCACTTCCCTTAGTTATTCATCTACATTTCATTTTCACCTCAGTAAAGAACTAAAATCCCATCATAATGCTGTTGATAACAATACCACTATGCACAGAATTGGGTGGGACCCTACCTAATGCCAGCCCTCTTATACCCTGGGCACCTATACAGAAAAGCAAAAATTAAAGAGAACACAGATGATGTTCATAGAAGTCCTCCACTAACTGCTTCATCTTGGAGTCAAGAAGAAATAATTAAACCTTTTCCTGGGAAACAATTTGACTGAGGTAGAGAATTACATTGAATTGAGTGGGTTGTGCACACACAACACTCTAATCTTCTCTTGCTCTAATATAGTATCAGCAGAGTCATTAACTTCTATTTGGAAGTATAGAAGAGGAAGTCATTCATATAAAACCCTGGGGGTGATGTAGGATCTTTGGGTCTTCTTACAATTTTGAAATTAAAGTCATTTCAACTGATCCAATCCACTTTCTACTCTACAAATGCAATACATTATCACAAAATAAACTACAGAGCTGAAGGCATGTGTAAGCATCCCTCCATTTAATGTCAGGCTAACACATTTGATATGAAAAAGCAATTTGCACAGATCCAAGCAAGGTAAAGGAATTTCCCTTAATTTGATTGTAAGGGTTATGGTCTCATCTGCAGAATATGAAGTTAAACAGCAAACTGGACTATTAGCCTGCAGAGCTAGCAGGCAAACAGGAAACTTCAAGAGACAATAAACCTGAGCAGGTGAAACCCACTTCAGATAATGAGGCACCAAGCTGGCAGGGCACCTAAATTGGAACCCATTGGCAACTACAAAGAGCTGAGTAGAGGCAATTAGCATATCCCCCTAGGCTAAGCAGCTTCCAGGCTCCTCATCTCCAACTGCAGACTTTTATGCCTACTACTCTTGTTCACTGTCTTCCATTGACAACCTGGGTTTGATATTCAGACTGGCATCTAGAATTCTCTGGTGTTCAAACTCTAGACTGTTAAACACAACTTTTCTGTCTTTTTTACTTGCTAGCAGATTATGACTCAATCTTACTAAGACTTTTGAACCTTCTATGTCTTAAATGCTTTTTAATTACTCATCTGATTTCTGACTATTAAGTCATGCCAATAAAGCATTTCAAATTTTCATTTGCCTGTTTTTTTTATTTGTAATGACTAATACATGATAGTAATTATGCTGTACGGACTGAGAACATTTACTGTTTTTTCATGTTAAACAAAAATTGCTCTTAGTGAACCTCTCCTCTCCTCCATTCAATTACATTCTCTTTCTGATATTTAGGAGATCAGGATAAACCACTATTCTGTAAGAGACAAATTAATTTTAGATGGCTGGTCATTATTGTTATGAGGAGATGCAAGATTGAATTAGAAGGCAACATTAGCAGAACTATATTAAAATCTAATGATCTTTGTCCTACTTAAATACCAACTCTTATTTCTAAAAGTTCCCCTCCTACCATTATTCTTCAGCAACTGTATCTCTGAGTCAAAGGAATTCTGCTCCCTGTGATTATACATTTGCATTTTGTGCATTATACCCTAGAGTAAAGATGTTTTTATCACCTACTCAGATAAAGCTTCTAAAAGCAGAGGAGGATGAATAATTCTATTATGCAGCAATACATACTAGGACATTCTGAAAATGCATTGCTACAAAGTATGCACAATAAATTATTGGTGGTGGTTTTAAATTCCAGAATAGCATGTAAAGAACTGGTGGATTCCCATAGTGCCACTGTACTGCTCCAAACCTCAGCCTAAATCCCAGGAGTGTAAGGAAAAAAGATACTTATATTTTTTCTAGAGCCAACAGCAATTGTAAGAGAGGTTCAAATATTTCTTTAACTGCCTCCTGCCACCACTTTGGCCTAATTCAAATACTCTTATCACATGATGAAAGTTAGCCCAGAGAAGAAATATTAAAAAGGGCAGAAAAATATATTTTTCCTCAAAAGGACTTTTTAAAACCAAACCTGGCTCCAAATCTATCTCTCTGCCCCAAGCAAGACTTTAGCCCCATACAAATGCAGATGTAAAACCATCAGAAAGTTGGAGCCAGAGCAATCAAGAAGACAAAAGAGAAGATCTGCATACCCCACCCAAACTCTAGGAGTCAGCCCCATCACCTGGGAAGCAGGATATGATAATAGAATTAAACCACAGATATCAAGGCCTAGACAAACACTCAGAAATAGCCTCAAGGTTCATGCCACAGGAACAGGAAACTATTCCAAACAAAGGGCTAGGGGGGGTATAAAACCTACTGCCCATGTGCTCAGTCTCTCCTTCTCCTTCTCCTTCTCCCTCCTCTGTACTTTCCTGAAGACCATCTTTCTGCAATAAACTGTAACCTTCTTCCCAAAGCAGTCACCATGTTTGCTTATTTATTCCCGGCTTGGATGAACCAGGATGAAGACTTTACTTCTAACAATTTGGCACCCCAGATGGGACTCCAAGCTAACCTCTCCAATGGACTGAGACTGGTAAGCCCCATCTTGCCGGCAGCAGACCCCCTTGTGTCTGTGGATGGGTTTCCCAGGCCTTGCCCATGTGGAGCTAGGGTAGTAAAGGGAGTTTTGAGAGTTTGAGCTCAAGGGCTGCTTTGGGAAGAAGATGAAGGTGAGTACCTCTAAATTTTAAGTTTAAAGCCCAGGGGAACAAAGAAAATGTGTGTATTTCTGTTTGTGTGAGTGAGAAGACTTTTTTTTCCCAATCACAGTTGGATTTTGCTGCTTCTGGTCTTTCCTAGCCGCAGAAAGGATCTGTTTAATTGGCAGAACCTGGAAAGCATGGGGGTTGGCCAGAGCACAGAACCTTTTGTTAGGGAAAAGAGAGAGGCTGGGTGAAAATGAAATGAAATGAGTGAATGAAAGAATTGGATTTGGGCAACTAGCTGGGGCCCTGTAAGCAAAGCAAAGTTAGGAAAGAAGTCTCGCAAGGAGACTTCGACTGTTTGGAAAGAAGTCTCACAAGGAGACTTCGACTGTTTGGAAAGAAGTCTCACAAGGAGACTTCGACTGTATTAGGAAAGAAGTCTCACAAGGAGACTTCGACTGTGTTAGGAAAGAAGTCTCACAAGGAGACTTCGACTGTGTAGTGTATGAAAGAAAAATAGACTTTGCTTAGGGCCTTGCTGGGAAACCAATTTGGCTAAATAAAGGTACTTAAAAGGGAAAATAAGAAATAGTGATTCTCTCT